TTTTCACTACCAAAATGCATGTGTTTTGCATTTATGTATTTAATTATTTATTTATGCATTTCTTTATTTATTTCTACTCACATCATTTATTGCCCTTCATAGTTTCCATCCAATAGTAAAATAAGCCTTAACTACAAGCAAGCCATACTTAGGAGGTGCAGACTACCCTGACCATATTCCTCTGGCTTCAGAATGTAAAAGAGAAATGCAGTGCAATAATCAAATCAGCAAAAAAGTCATATTGAAGAATGATTCAAGTGAGTGGCTGACAAAAAGAAGAGATTCAGTATAAGACAATGAAAAATTAGTTTTCTGCCTCGGGCAGAAGAGGCAGAAAGACTGTTCTGTCAGGAGAGTGAAATTCAATCCTCTCCTCCACCAGCGTTCTCCCAAGAGGAAGAAAAGTCAAGACTAGTTGGAGAGAAGATCGCCAGCACAGGGACAGGGGAGCCAGATAGCTGACGAAAGGAACTAAGTCTGAACTACTCTTGTGGCCGAGCATACGAGTTGAATGACATGACGGGGAAGATGATTTTCAACAACTATGTGTGGGACTGGATTTGCCATAGTTAGAATGTGAAATCAAACAACAATCCTTTTATCCATAACTCTACACCTCCTCTCTTCCTGTGTTTATCCTCACTTAACTGTTGATTTCAGCTTAGTCCTCAACTCTTTCTCATCCCTCATCCAGCCACAGTTGTCCTCTCGCCCCCTTTTCTCTCTCAACCTGATTACTCTGCTTTATGCAAACTACAACTCTCACCATCTTTCTCTCTTGTGTATTCTCCTTTCGCTTTTACATCCCAATTAGTTGGCTCCTGTCTACTCTCAGCCTGTCCTTCTAGCTCCTTATCTCGCCTAGTGCAGACTCAATGTTGTTCAATATTTGATGAGACTTTGTTCATAAATCTACCTCCTCTAGTCCCTTCTGGTGTACTTGAATGATAGTGTTAATCTCCGAAACCTTGTGAGTGTTAACACGCCACTCTTTGTCAGCTTTTGGTTAGAGAAGTTTTCGGCCCAGTATGTGACACATGAAAATGTAAATCATACTTATTACAATGGCCAGAGGTGGGTCCTAAGCTGTGCTCTTCCCTACAGTAAAATGTATGATGAAAATGGATTTCAAGGTATTTATTACAGCTGAGCTCTTTTATGGCTGTTGATTGGCATTGAGACCTTAAAATTTACTGCCAGCAGTAAAAAACCTTAATGACAAAGTCTTATATATATTTTTGCTAGCCCCACACTTTTTTGCAAAACTCTTGTGGTGTTATTGTTTTCAATGCTTATTCATTTATCACTTCCCCCATATGTTTCATAAGTGGTTAGATACTTTTTCTCAAGTGGTTGCATTTTTTTTTTTTTTTCTTCAAAAATCATCCTTCAGTTCTCTCCTCTTCTTGTCGTCCCTGGTTTACTTGCTCTGACAGACATTGTGTTTGTGTTGAAGTGGCCCACCCTGTCACTCTCAGAGCATCTTGGGGAATCGACCACCGTCAGTCCTCTTCCCACTGTGGTATCCTTCTTTCACCCAGAAATGCTCAACTAGCAGACTTCCTTTTGACCAGTGAGACATGAACAGGCCGGGCTTGGAGTGTTTTTGCATACATGCGGTCAATCATTCAAACACTCCTGAATAACATATAAAATATGGCTGTCTTGACAGATGCAGTAACTGTTATTTGTATTGTTCCATATCATAAAACAACTATACAAGTTTGGTTGGGTTTTGCTGTTAAACAAACCAATTTGTAAAATCAGATTTAGGTCAGTCTCTTTTGACAGCTTAATATTTTTCATGGTCTACAAATTTATGTTAGAGATTGATCCCATTTCCCGAATCCAAGGGCCTAAATTGATTATAATGTTAACCCAGCGGTTCCAATCCTGGGGGACAGGAAGATGATTCAGATGAGTCGCAAGATGCAACTCAAAAGTAATCTCATTTTTTTTTTTTTTTAGACTTTTCTCTGATCTTTGATTACATGGTAGATATACAGTATACAACCGATGACGATGGATCACAGGCGGCAGTCACCATCACCTGCTTCCGGCAAGAAAGAAAGAGAAAACTTACAAATATCACCTTTAACCCCTAACCAAAATCCTGTGATCAATGCTAATGCCTAACCTTACTTAATGCTAGAACTATCTCTAAACCTCAACCAACCATCTGACTTCTTTCTTCATCTTCCTGTTACTTTCAGGATGCAAACACACACACACTCAAACACTTTAATACACACACTTTTTCAGCTGTGCAACAATCAGAGATGGAGCCAGCAATGGCATAACCGTTTTGTTTTCAAGCCAAAAAACAAATAACCAAGCAGACTCATGTTTCAGTACTTTTAATGTGGCTATTCTATAATCTCTTCATCAAATGTTTCTGTTGGATGTCTGGCAATTGGCTAGCTTCTTCATCTCTACGTTATTATTTATGTCAATTACAGGCCACTGTAAGCTGTGCCAGACACCTGTCGATGTTCCTTGGTCACCGATAGAGGTTGATAAGTCAAAAGTCATAGATCACTTAATGCCCCTTTAACCTTCATCAACACCATGTTTTCTATATATTTTATTAATAACTTACTGACTCTTTAAGTATCTGCATGTTGGTAATCAGTGATTGAATGAGTTTATATCTGTGGCCTAATTTGAGTTTGTCTCCATCTGTCCATCTGAGCATTCTGATATTCATCTATTTCAGACTCCCAACTCATATGATATTCAGAGCACCAAACTGCCAATGAGACAGTGGGAGATTCCCCGCGTCATTCACCATCATTAAGGCGGCTGTTGGAAATGGTCCAGATCTGCTTGATGGCAAAGCCCCTGTAGCCAGACCTCACCACAGAAAAACCAGGACAGAACATATGGAGGCGCCAGTATGCCAAATCTGAAGCACAATGACACAATCTTAAAGCAAAAATCCACCCTAACATACTTTTGAAACAGTTTTTAAAGAGCTGTTGATGACGCAACTTGTATTTGTGGGTCAGCGTTATTATTTTGCACTTTGCTAAACTTACCCCTATCCTGCAGATAACTGACCAAATGCAGAGGTCCTAACATCATGTTAATTGAGACATCTTTTGAGTCAAAGAGCAAGGTCCTCTTTTGCAGGAAGAAAGCAATTGCACATAAAACTATTTTTCCATTCAAAGAACCGTCAACTAATCAGAAAGCCATATAGCCACAACACTTGCGTTAGGTTTTAATTGAGGGCCATGGCTATTGCTTTTCTCAGCTGGAAAACCTCCTGAACCTTCACAGTATACAGCTTACTTCAAACTAAATTGAATTCAGCACATTCTCAAACTATTTCATGCCAGTATACTCAGATGTGACTTAACTAGAGGCAGATTTATTGAGTTATCTGGATAACTTTGCTGAGTAATACCCCAGAAACCCCTTAAATCTGGAACGTGGACTGATGTTACAGCAAATTGTCTAGGTAATCTGCTTCCTGGAACAAGCACTGCCTATTAATTTAATGGTGCTCACGCTGATTGGAAAAGCTTGCAAGTTGTCTTAGGAGAAGATCAAAACCATCACTTAACCTGGATGTACTAATGAGAATTAGTATAATTTGGCCAGAAAACACAGCTCAGAATCTTTGACAGTTATCATATGTATGCAGCAACTTCTCACCATTTGCAGGCGAGACTGTGTTGAAGAGTAGCAAAAAATTCACTGTAGCATGTGTGAAATATTCACCCTTCTATTGGCTTTCTAGACATCAACAACCAAAGCACATTTCCTGTGTTTTTCCGTTGCAAATGTGCAAATGAACCTAATTTAATTTGGTTTGGAGTATAGTACCAGCCAGGATGTTCTTATTGTTGCTGTTACAGCTGCACAGAACACTGTGCAACAAGTTCAGGCATGTTTCTGGAAGTTGTCACAAGGCATTGTGGGGAAAGTATCACCTCTCTGGACCACATCAACATGGTCAAGACATGTGGCAGGACTGGAGGGAAAGTGGCCAAGAGGTCTGTCACAACACCTCATTTAAAAATAACACCTGCATCACAGTGAGCATCAAAGAGCGATGAGTTTTTACAGTGTACAAGTAACTGAGGGTGGAATTTTCCTTTTAAGGAGCTCATATTTGGCTGTTAGCCCTGGGTTGTGCCTCAGACATGGGTTGGCTCCATTATCACAAAGTAGCAATGATCTTGACCTCATGTGAAGCTAAATTGCATATCCAACTCACCCCCTTCTGCAAAGAACCTGTGATGCAAATTCACAGAGTTTATATATAGCGTGTCTTTCATCAGCCTGCTATTCCCCGATGCATTCCCAGTGGCTAAATGGGAAATGTGGACCAGCTCTGTGCTCATTCACACATGTGGACTTATTAGCATTGCCCGTGGCTAGTTTTTCTATTATTGCACGTGTCTTTTTCTAATTTTGTAAAGTTCACTCTATCAATGAAATGATAAGAGTTAAATGACCAAAGTTTACTCCCTTCTCTGCCTTTTTCCCACAGCATGTTTCAGAAGATGAAGCCAGTCTCATTGGATAGCCATGTTTTGTCTCCATGACAGCTATGTCACTCAGCCCTCTCTGCAGTGACACCTGCACAGCAAAGGATGCTGGGAAATAATGAGCACTTTTATCCCGGTCAGGATGACAAAGATGGGGAGGATGAGGAGGAGGAAGAGGAGCAAGGAAGAGAAAACAGAGAAGGTGAAGGTGGACGTGACACGGAGAATGGAGGGTTAGAGGGTCTGGAGGAGAGGGAAATGACGGGAGGACGGCAATCCTGGGAAGGGAAAGGCGGCGAGGTGGTGAAACCAGCAGCCATTGTGGTCGGTAGACAGAGAGCAGACCGGCCCCTGAGGCCGGGCAACCTGGGCAACCGGGGTGTTGCTTACATGTCGAATCAAGTCCTGCTTCATCATCAAGCAGCCAATAAGCAGCAGCATCATTTCATAGCAGCCAATCAGCAGCCTCATCACCTAGGCCTGAATGTGCTGCAGAAGAGACGAGCTCTCATGGAGCGCAGCATGACCACAGTGGCTCCGCTGGAGGACACTTTCCTGACCATGATGGTGTTTCGCATTGGAATTCCTGACATCAAACAAACAGTAGGTGCATGTTTCTCATCAGGAGCACTGTAGCTAAATGCTTTGAAAAAAAATGTGGTGACACAAAGACACCCACACATGAAACAATCCCCGGTTCCTCTTGACATGAAACAAAATCGAGGCAGAGAAACAATGATGTACTGCACAGTCCAGATCTTCATATCTGAGAAAAATAAAGTTCAGTTAAAAATCCAACATTTAAAAGTCTAGTTATCTATGTAAAAAAAAAAGTCTTCCTCACAATGACTGCAGGTTTTTTCAAACAGGGAAGTAGTTTAAGGCAAGACTCTGGTATAACTGCCTCAGAGAGAGACACAGCTTTAATTCAACAAACAGACCTAAAAAATCTAAAATGAGGCTATTTTACAATGTTAAGGCAGTAATTTATTTGGCTTATGTAACTTGTACTGATTTGAATGTTTATGCAAGTACAGACAAAACTAAACTTGTAAAGATCATTGAGGTGATGGCGGGGGTTATCATTTGTGCTGGATACCTCAAAAATTCTTTTGTTCCAATACATAAGCTGATATATATAGATATAGTCCTATTCCTCTAATCCTCTATTTTTCTACCACTTTTTTCTCTTTGTTTTTAAGCTTGCTCTCTCTTTTCTGATGGAAGCTAAAAGGATTCAAAACTGTTTCCCTTTTGAACCCAACTTTTTTGCATCCTTAAATGAAAACAATTTTCCGTATTTTTGCTGCAGTGTTGACTCTACAGCTGTTACAGATTAGTCACTGAAAAGTACCCAGGGGTACTCGATGCATACATTTTCGTGCATTAGCCAAATAGTGTGCACAACTGTACAAGCACATCTCTTATTTCAAAGCATTTTCACTCCAGTCATCCCACAAGCCCAGGGATGAGTCCCAAAAGGAAGCAGAAAAAAAATACCAAGCTTGACTTGTGTTGCACAACCTGTGAGGGAAGACGTATTCAGTCAACAACACCATGTAAGCACCTGTCTTGGGTCAGGTATGGGCATAATTAGTTTCCAAAACTGTAGTTGGTATCAATTCACACTTACAGCAGCTCTCAGGTTTACGGTGGCAGCAGGTGAGAATTGGCCAGCCCACACACGCCATATCCAGGTGAGAATGGGTACCCAACTGTAACCCCTCCCCCCCATCTTCCTTTCTTCATTTTCAACTCCCTGAACATGCCGACTGTTCTACATGTCAGCTAATCTGCCCTCAATATAACAGTAATTGCTAATTATCTAATAGGTTTTTAATGAGTTTGGGGAGAGCTGGGGAAGTGAGTGACTCTGAAAAGGAAGGAATATGTCGAAGGCATTTGCGTTGCTCTTGGGTCTCCATCAGCCATGGGCATCATATTCAGCTCTGCACATCAGTGACAAACACTCAGCATCCCAAACCTCGCAGCTGAAATAATATTGAATTGAATTAAAGAGAGATGATGAGACAGAGGTGAATATTAGGACCTAGTTAAGGAGAGTCAAAGTGAATGCTATGAAGAGGGAGGTGGGGAGTGAATAAGCAAAGAGGAAGATATATGTATTTACAAAAACCACATAACTGCATGGTGAAGGTCCAAATAACTCTGCTGAGCGGGAACAAGTCCTGCTGTATAGATCTCAGAAAATCCTTGATTGTATAAAGGAGAACAATGGGGAGAGAAGTGTCGCTGTAATATACAGTATACATTACATTAGGCATCTCTCCCAGGGATTAGCTGCTCAATCTCTCTCTCTTACACACAAACACAGACACACTCTGGAAATATAAACACTGCACTGCACAAGTACACTCCCATAAGAACACACAGACACGCACATATTCTTTACAACTCACTTATATCTGTGTGCATATACACACTGACGCACATCCTCATCATGTGGTTTACCTCCCAGGGACCGCCAAGACATTGCTACGGCAACGGGTGCCTGCCTCTACTAATGAACTGGTTGCCATGCCAATAGAGTTGGCTACACTATCAAATAGCGCAAACCGGGGGGGGGCAGAGGGGAGCTGTGGAGGGTGGGGGCTCGAGGGGGGCAGAGGGGACATGAAAGTGTGCTGAGCTGTGCAATTTTACTCACAGTTCTCTGAAATGGAACAATAGCATGGATGCATACATCTCATTCAGGCCTCTCAGTCCTGTTGTTGAGCCCCACTTCACCTCTCAGCTCCGTCCTCCAGGCTCCAGACTTTAATAAGAAAAGGACAAAAAAGATGGTCCTGTGAAAATGCAAGAAAATGGAATAATATGAGGAAATGGGCAGTGCACAAATCGCCGTGAAATCTAGTTAGGCATACCACATACACATAATTCATCCAAGATATTTTTTCATTGTGGCCAGTGAGCCTCTGGTGTATCGCACACAGACATACAGTAAGAGGGAAGGAAGGATTTTTTTCTCCAAACTAGTTTGTTATTTCTCTTCTGGATTGTGGTGCAATTCTGAGATTATGCATGCAGAGATCAAAGAAGAAAATAACGAAAGGGAAATATTTATCCCAGTATAGAATCTTTACGTATTTATTAGGGGTAAAGGGAAAAAGTGGTGTGATAAGTGTGAGCTAGACCCAAATGTTCTGATAGCACAGACTATAAGGATGGCATAAGTCTTCTTATTTCCATGAATATGGCAGATGATCAATTATTAAAAAGTAATGCATTCATATTCTGCACCCAACACATTCTCATGCATTCATCATTCACCAGCTGATGTTAAAACCGTCATGTTACATTATTAATCCATAATAATAAAATGCCATAGGCCAGATATTTTAACCAAACTGACAGAATGCAGCTGAAATATTGTGTTAAAATATGAAATAAAGTATGCACAAGTTTACACACAAACACATGTACAAACATGGAGGTAGTTGCTGTTTTAATGACATAGACTCGGAGACCGAAATGATCTGATTTCCTGAAGGAAAAAAAAAAAGTAAGTGGACTAAGATCAGAGAAACAATGATAAAAACAAGGCTGAGAAAGGCTGTAGCTTCTTTTATGAAGCCCAGCTCTCCTGCTACTCCACAGTGATGGAAGAAGTACTCAGACGTTTTACTTGAGTAAAAGTAGTAATACCACAATATAAAAATACCCAAACAGAAGATATGGTGCAGAACAAGTATCAGCAAAAATATGAATAATCACTGATCATAATCATAACAATGGTAATCAATATCAAAAGTAAAAAGTATCCACTTGTTATGACTCTTATTGTTATCAATGAATAAACATAAGTGGCTTTTCTAAGATTGTAGCTGGTTGGGTTTGAGCTAATTGAAGCACTTTAGTTTATTCTATAACAATGTACATGTATCATATTGTCATCATACTTCCTTTTTCAAAATCTTCCTAAAAAATAACAAGGAGATATATCTGTAACTGTTACATGTAGTTATTGGAGTGAAAGTATATAATTACCTTTGACATGTCGTAGAAGTAGCATAGAATTGAAATACTCTAGTACAAGTAAATTGTTCTCAGATACAGTATTCAGACTCATTAAATGTACTTAGTTACATTCCACATTTGAAACTAAAATTCAGTGTAGCCTCCACAGTAACTAAGTTACCTTTTCTAGATTAGATAGTTGACCAATTAAGCTAGGCTATCTAACATAAGCTACATGGTTAGCCTTTTGCCTTTGTAATAATTAGCATGGTCAGAAACAAACCATTGTAATTTCATTCATATTAAATGTAATACATAAAATGTTAAGGCGCCTGTGACCGTACTCACACAGCTACTGAAGTGATATTCAAATGATACTGTTCTTCTTAACCATTATTATTTCTGACTCCAAAAACATTAAAACGCCTCCATATGCCCTGTGTTCCCCGTCTGTCAGAGGTGTCTCCAGTTTGACCAGGACTGCACGGTGTGGAACGCTAAGCAGCAGATCATCTGCTCCCTCAGTGAGTCTTTGTGGGACGCCTACAACTACGGCCTCTTCCAGCCGGCTGGAGATGGACGGGACGCCAAGTTCCTGGAGGAGGAGCGGGCCCTGCAAGACTACTCGCAGTCCTTTGAGAAAGGGGTGCCTTACCTGGAGGTATGGAGGTGGAAATGGTGGAAAATTGTTTGACCAACTCTAAAAATAAAAGTCTCTCAAATTAAGATTGTTTCAACTTTAAAAGTATTTATAGTGTTTTTTCCCCATATTTCTTTCTTTCTTAAGTAAGGACTAACTGTTCACTTATATTGTCTATAGATCTTATTTCTCAGTATGGAAATAAAAAGTCTTCACGGCCATCTCCACACTACCAGGAATAACAATCTGGTGGGGAAGTACTTGATTTATTTATGTGTTGGACTTAAGGTTGTCCAATTGAGATATAATGTGTCTAAAAAACACAGAAATTCAGTCTATTGAATGTCCATAACATGTTGTTAAATTTAATTTTATTTGTTACATTCAGAAAGAAAAAGTTAAACAACAGAAGCCAATGTACAGATTTTTATCTTTTTCATCTCTATTACTCATAAGTAAGTGAGAACCTTAAGGAATATTCAACAATTGGAGATGGATTACCCAAGTTTAGTTTAGTTTTTTTTTTTTAAATGAGACTTCCCACGCTCAACACAGTAGACGAAGGAGTAAATTAAATCTTGACAAAATAAATAAATAAATATGCACATCATGGATTTAATTGCATTCTGTACATTATGTAACTTAGTAATTATATTATATTTCTTCACTTTTTTGGGACGTGGGTGTCAGTATGAAGTTTCATGCTGTGCTATGATTATCTCACAGTGCCCTCTGGTGGTCAGGCAGCTGTAAGTGTTGATGAGCTGGGTGGGGCTGAAACAGTATCCTGCACTCAGGGTTTGGCTTCAAACCAGAGTGTTTACATTCTTGACAAGGTTCCAGATGAGGACATGTCTGTGGACTGATGGGGCTTTGTAACTAGATTCTGCTCCACAGCAGAATGTATCCCACAGCACCGTGAGTAGATGTATTTATAACACGAGTACTCTAAACCGGTGAATACTGAACTGGCATTAGTTTCTGGACACTGTTGGTTCTTACTGTGTACCATTACTTATTAATAAGCACTAATAAGCAGTAATAAGTAGTTATTTTAGTCTAAGTATTAGGTCAGTTTTCTCTTTCATCCTGGCCCAACACCTCTGATGCTTGAAAAACACGGCTGCTCTGAGGTGCAGTGTGTGGTTCAGCTCAGCTGTCAGCTGCTAGGTAGGTGCTTAGTCTTCCCCCCTCACCTCCAGGCTCCTCAGCCAGTAAATGGTTTGCCAATTCAGTACAGTACAGATGCACCGCACATCCAGTCAGATGGTTTTCATTGACGCAGTCTGCCATTCAGACAGGAAATGGAAGGTAAACCCACCTGACCTCAGTTCACTCATCTTTTGAAGCGAGGATTTTTGAAGACTGATTCTCTAGACCATATTTTCGGCCAGTGTTTTCAATTTCTCCACCTGATTTTTATTCCTGAAGGCTGTGAAACATTTAGACCACCACATACATAATAACACTCTGTGACATACAGCTGCCTGTTCATAATTTACATTTACAGAAAGTAAATCTTAATATTCAAGCAAATACACTGCACTATTGCTGGTCAGTGAAGAACCTCTATTGAATCATTGTATAGGTGTTAAAATAGTCTGCAATGAGTACATTTTATTTTGAAAAAAAGGACTGGGCAGTTTGTCATATCCTGTGATGTATATGGCTATATCTGGGCATGAAATATTGGCTGTATTTTTACAAAGACATTTATTTTATTTTATTTTATTTTATTTTATTTTATTTTATTGCACTTTATTTAATTTAATACACTTTATGCCAAATGTTTTCATGTGTATAAATGACCAAGAATTAGAAACACAGGTATTCTTGTTAGTTGTTGCCTAATCAAGGAGGATAAGAGACTAAATGCTCCTGCATCCTGCTGGTCTGGAGTATTTCAATAGTATTTCATTTCACTCCAGTTCAAGCACTGAATCTATCTGTATTTTAGTGGCAGGTTTAAAAATTGAACCTTACATGTGATCAAGCTTTTCCCAAAAAACAGAAAACCAATTCTGACTTCATATTTTGAAGAAATAAATCATGGAGCTGTTCCAACGCCTTTGAGTGGGAGAGTGAATTTCTGGAAACAGTGAGAGAGTTTAGCTGCAGTTAACAAGAGAAATTGTGGTTTAAAGCTGCAATGCTGAAATTAACACAACTGAATTATTTTCCTTATTTCCCTGCTTTTAGGAGATTATTGTTCATTTTTGTAAAATATCAACTGAACCACATTTTACAGCACAAACAGTAATGTTTTTGTTATTTCCTCTATGTACACAGTCAGATGAACTGAACATGTGTTGCAGTGAGATTCACTGTTTTCACACGTACCTTTTCTGGTCCTCAGTTTAGGTACAAAACCAGAGTTTATAAACAGACAAATCTGGATGAAAAGGCTCTCGCAAAGCTCAGCACAAAGGTATTTCTTCTCTTGTCTGTTAAACATTACTGGTGTACAATATTAATTTCCACTCAGTGACAACTGTTTCCTTCTTTTTCTACCCCTCCCAGGCCAGTCTCAAGAAATTCCTGGATTACATTCAGACTGGAGCAATAGAGAAAATGGCAAAAGTCCTTGATAAAGGTCTTGATCCAAATTTTCATGACCCTGACAGCGGAGGTGAGTTTGTCACAAGCCTGTGTGTGCAACCTCTCACTTATTTTGACTTATCATATAGATTAATTCTTGGCGTGCAAATAAATGATGTTGTAAGTGATATTGAGAGATGATTTCAAACACTGTGAGAATATCTGAGGGTGGATTTTCTACCTTCCACCCTTCCCAACCCCTAACCCCCTCTGTGGGTCAGAGACCCCACTCTCTGTGGCTGTGCAGTCCGGCCTGCCAGTGGAGGGCATCAGGGTGCTGGTTCAGGGCGGCGCTCATTTGGACTTCAGAAGCAGAGACGGCTTCACGCCAGTGCACAAAGCTGTTAGAGCTCACAATCACGCTGGGCTGCTGGTAAGGACTCTGAATTAAAGTTGCATACAACATCCTCTTTTTCTTTCTCCCTCTTTCTCAGCTTGTCTGTCTCGCATTGCAAACAGAATACACACACCATCAAAAAGTCATGCTTTTCCTTGTCTCTTCTTGCCAGGCTCTCTTGTCCTTTGGTGCGTCTCCAGACTACAAAGACCGCTGTGGCCTGACCCCACTGTACCACACTGTACTGGCAGGGGGCGACACTTCCTGCTGCGAGACCTTGCTGTACTACAGAGCCAGGCTGGGGACAAGGGACGAGAATGGCTGGGACGAGTCCCATCAGGTACCAAAAGACAGTTCAATACTTTAGATTTATAGTTAACTCACATCTATCCGTCTCTCTGTCTCTCTGTCTGTCGATTTCCATATATCTGGCTGTTGTCTCTCTTCATGTAAACCTCAGCAATGCACCAACATTTCTCTGTCTTATCTCTGTGGTCGATGTCATGTACCATCGCCCTCAGTCTCTCTCTCAGCATTTTCTCACACCCCTCTCCTCTTGGCCTTCCTCACTCGTCTCTCCATTCTCTCTGCTTCCTCCCTCCTTCTCTCTTTCCATAGCACAGGGATGAAGAGGAGTTTGGAATGGAAGAAATACATAAGGTACCTTTCATCCGCACCATCTCTCCATCCATATCAGCCCATCAGAGGCAAAGGCGCTGAGAATCATGATATGATTTTAAAAAAAAAAAAAAAAAAAAAAAAGAAATGTAGATGAACTAAAGTGAATGAGGTGAGCACAGAGTTTTCTTAAACCTGTACAAATCTGCGTCATCCTGAGCTGAGTCCAGTTCAGAAAGAGCATTTGATATCATCTCTTTCTTACTGTAGTTATGGGTGCATTGCCTACATTATGTCTCTGTGACATTCTGGTAAATCTGCATTTGTGCTGCGAGCCGGTTGTCATGGTATTTTATTTTGGTTTTGCCGTGCTCTGTGTTTTCTTTCTTTACTTTGTACGTATCTTGTGATATTTTAGTCCCTGCAGAAAAATATGAGGAAACATCTCAGGCTGCTGAAGGCTCATTTCTGTTGTTTTAATGTTTTTTTTGTTTCCTGTCTTTAATATCATGGTGCAATGTAATTGGCTCTGACCTGTTTTTCTCTAAGAGTAATTACGGATCTAAATGTGGATGTGAGATACATTATTTCCCTTTCTTTCTCTTTGTATCTCTTTTGCAGTATCTTTCTTTTTCTCTTATTTTCTGCCTAATTGTCTTGTGCTGAACAGTCTTATATGCCCCCCCCCCCTCACTTTTACTTGTCTCCTTCTATACTTTATAATCCTGACAATTTGTGGATATTTCTATCACACTCTTGACATTAAAAGGCTTGCCAGAATGGCTTTGCCCAGCACTTGGAGCATCTGCTGTTTTATGGGGCAGACAACACTTCTCTAAATGCCTCAGGGAACACTGCACTTCACATTTCTGCCCTGTACAACAAGGCAAGTATGGAAACAGATCCCTTATATTAAACCATTATTGCAATAATAATTACTGCTGGTTTTCCTAAAGATGTTAACCAATCACTTTCCCTCTGTGAATGATCAGGAAAGCTGTGTCCGCGTTCTTCTGTACAGGGGAGCAAATAGGGAGGCAAAGAACAAACATGGTCAGACCCCTTTTCAGGTAAATGATAATTGACCATTATTATTATTATTATTATTATTATTGAGAGAGATATTTAGATTTTTTAGCATGTTTGCAAAGTGAGATTGTATTTTCTAGTTTTGTCACAAAGAGAGAAGGAAGAGAAAAGGAGACAACACAACAAAACTAGAAACAGCAATAATTGCAAGAGTTAGATCAATTATGTCTCATTTTGTTTTCAATGTTTGCAGCTAGCTGTAATGTCTGGTCACTTTGAACTCGGGGAAATAATCAAAAACCACAAAGATTCCGACATAGGTAAGTTTTCAAGCCAACCTCTCTCTTCTGAAGGGGCTATTGTAGAAAATATTAAATCAGTTCCCAGCACCTGCCTTTTTTTTGTACCTTTCGAAATCTGCCATGATATTTGCCCTTATAATCTTTCTTTTTCCCTAACACTCTACCTGATTTTTCCCTCTATTTCATCCTGTCACTTCAAACCACACCCCTCTCCCTCCTCACTTCTTATTCCTCACCTCTGAACCCTTACTGTAAACCTCACCGTCACGCCTCACACCTCCATCTTCAGTGCCCTTTTTGGAATCGCCAAAGTATGTACCCAAGCGAAAAGAGAGCGCCCACACACTGCCTCTCCCCTCGCTCCATTCCCACCCCCTACTGCGTGCTAACAGTGATAACACCATGACCCAGTCTGACCCTCTGGCCATGCCCAACAAGGCCGCAACCAATCCCAACCCAGGACAGGTACTAAAGACCATTAGGCAGAGGTCATCTGCTGATCTCTGTGTTGTTAGATATAATTACTGATGCTGCATTGCTTCTCAGCCTCTTATAGTAATGAAATTACCAGATCAGCTTTGGCGGTTTGTCTTTAAGGGACTTGGTGTGTTTCTGCAGGGCCAGCGCAGGGCCTCCATTGGCGTGAGAAGCTCCAGCAGCCCCAGAACTCGTACTCGCTCCCCATCCAGAGGGAGGGGAGGGCAAAGTGACACGGAGGAGAGGCACCGGCAGCCACGAGGCAGACAGGGGTAAGGAGCCTGTGGAGGAAAGATGTAGTGTATAAAGAGAGGGGGCGTGGTGGGTTCTTATTCTAACCAGGTCCTTTAAGGCCATGCACAGGGAATCACTAATCTCCAGTTACAATCAGCTGTATGCAGTTATTACTATTTGTGTCTCAGTTACATGCTGTGCACTATTTTTAACTGCAAGAATGTTACATATTTTAGGTGTGGAAATGGTGGAAATTGTTGTCTTGTAAGGCAACAGAAATGGAGGAGATATTCACGGCCTGAGGAAAAAAAAAAAATGAAATGGTGGTGCAACAGTTCAATGACAACAACACAGACACAAACAAGACAGATCTGTAAGGCTGTTCTTATAGCACTGAACAGAGGTACACTGCCTGTGTTATAGTGCTTTCTACATACCTGACATACAGTGTGTACTGAAGGCTAGACACTGTTAGTAAATACAATAGTGCAGCACAGCATGCATTCTTACTGTTGCACTGATTAGTATGACTCAACTGTCTCTGATGTAGCCTGACAAGCTGTATGTCGTCTCACTTTGTCTCACTTGCTTTTCCACAGTGTGCAACACAGTCTTATCTCACAGTTTTGTAAGAGACTCTCTCTTTCTCCCTCCCTCTCCCTCTGTAGTGCGACCTCAGCGGGCAGTGGGGGAGGTCAGATGAAGCGTATGTACAGTGCCGTACCAGGGCGGGTGTATGTGGCCACTCGTGCCCACTCTGCTAGTGGGGACAGAGAGCTCTCACTCAACAAAGGGGACAAAGTCAAAGGTGAGATGGAGCAAAGATTAGCAAACAGTGAAATAAGTATGTGAAAAGTCTTCCCCGCACATTTTAAACACTGTTATGAAAGATGAGCGAAGAGCATTGGAATCATGCTGTTGTTTGAATGTGCTTTTTTTTTTTTTCCCAGACAATTACCTAAATGTTCTCTACTGCAGAGAAATTGGTGTAATGTTGAGAAACTTTTAGTGCAGCTGCAGTGCAGTTTGATCCAGAAAAAAATTATCAACAGCGAGGAAGAGATGTACATGAGGGAAGAGAGGATTGTAAACAAGAGAAATGAGAGGCGCCAGAAAAACCCATCCAGTCAGCACAAAGCAATACATGTTCCTAGCCATTCTCAGTGGACTGTACAATGTTATTATAAAACTAAAGGTAACTAAAGTTAAACAAGGAAAGTTGAAGGAAAAATATATAACAGAGTGAGATGTGACAGTGGATTTACTTCACACATTATATCCTATCCATCTATCTATGCCTATCTCTTTATCCATCTATTTATCTGTCCATCTGTCTGTCTCAGTATTAAGTGTAGGAGAGGGGGGATACTGGGAGGGAACGGTGAAAGGTCGCACCGGCTGGTTTCCTTCAGACTGTGTGGAAGAGGTTGCGGGTTTCAGCAAAGACAATCGATCAGGTAAGACAAAACCAGTCGGAGCTTCACCTCACTATTGTATTTTAAAATATCATTCTGACCACGGCTCTTTTATAAAGGAGAAGGATTTTATAGCAGTTAGGTTATATTTAGAAATTTTGAAACACGTCTTGAGCCTGATGGGAATCTTTTTCTTGTTTTTTTTTTTTTCTTTTCTTTAATTATTCATGTATAAATTGAATGAAATTATTTATTTATTTTGAGATTACTCTCGTAAAGTTAACAATGTCAAGAGGTGGGTTAGCACAGATTGGAGAAAGGGCGTAAGGGAAAATGCGTTACATACTCCCTCAGGCTGGCATTATCCTTTAAATCACTGTAACACCCAGCACATGTCACACTTGTGTTTACCAGCAGGCCCTTATTTGCAGCAGTGGCACATATACAGCACAGGCATTCACTTTTGTCATATTTTCACAGCTGCACAGTTCACCCATTGAGCAAACCATATGTCACGTTGAAGACACAAAAACAGGGTGTAAATATATTTGATCCATTTGAGCCTCGTGCTGAAAACACAACACTTCTACAAAGAGACAGAGAAGGTGTCATGACGGAAGCAGGAAGTTTATATTGAGCATATGTTTTGCCTGCGTGTGCCTTGCAGAGACTCGCAGTGAGAAAGCCAAGAGGAAACTTTTCCGTAACGTCACTGTGGGAGCTTACGATGGCACTGATGGCCCCAGGTAAGTGAAGCTGCTGTGAACCTGTGATTGGCATTGTAGTCGATAAATAAGTTTGGAGCAGAAACTATAATTTACCTTTAGCGGCTTCAAACCTGCAGTAAACTGAGCTGCCTTCAAGAAAAACACTTGAAAGTCTAAATCTAAATCTAAAGTGTAAATGTGAAGGTGATTGTGTTTGTCTGTCCTCTTATGTGTTGAACTGGTCACCCAGTGCACTCTGTGACAAGCCCCAGCCCCTCGCAACACTGAACCGTCATATGAGTTTAGAAAATAGATGGACTAAAATAATGATAAAACCTGATTGGCTGCAGCCCCTCATGTAGTTCTAGCTGTGGATTGTCATAAGAGTGTGGGCAGCAACTGAGCTGTCTGCTCTCTGGTTTATTACTGTAAGGTAAGACTGTGAGGCCAGTCAAGATGATTGAAATAGTTGACACACTGCTGTTTTGTGGCTAAGAGTAGGTTCTTGTGTGTGTGTTTGTGTGTGCATGTGCACACTTGTTTCACCTAGTGTGCTCTCATGTGTTCTTGCATGCTTGTATGTGTCTATTTTCTGTTGATCCTGAACAGCGCTTGTTCTCTATTGTTCTGCTGTGTGAACACGTCAGTGCTGAGAGCACAAAGAGCAGCCATGTCATTTTCAGCTCTGCCCCTTTTGGCTCCACCAGACAAATGCACTTGTCTCTTTGATACCTCCATCCACATGCCTCCCTCTCCTCTCTTGTTGCTTGTTTAGACTGAACACAATAATCCTTTAATGAAAGGCAGAGGTGGGGTTCTCCTCCTCCCCTTCCATGACATCTGTCTGAAGCTGCAGCCCAGCCCTGGGCAACTGCAGTTGTGTATTTTGAAGTTATGCATATTTGTGTGCTAGTGTGCATGTGAATGTGTCTGTGTCTTTGCGTGTACATACATCATCGTGCTGATGAGTCATAAGGAGGCTGAAACACCAAGCATTGGTTAGATCCGGGGGCTAGTGAGAAGGACTTTCCAGTTGCCACCCCAGGGTTTTACAGCCTCTTACACATTGGAGCTGACATTACCCTTGTGCATGGGCAGCTCTCACTGTCATTCAAAAAAGGCATTCACTTTAATGCAGCTGTGCTTGTGTTCTAAATGGAAATCACAGCCACTGGGGTTATATTACCTGTGTTAAGTTGGTTAAGCGTAATTGCAGCACCGTGGTGAAGTGGTGCTCAATTAAGAGCAAGGTGATCCGGAGCATGTTCCCACACTGCAGCTAGGCATTTGGGAGAATGTCAATTACTATTTCAGAGAGAAATAGAGAGCGGAAGAGTGTTTGTTAGCCTGCATGGTGATGACAGCTCTGCTTTAGAGGAGAGGAGGGAGCGAGATGAAAGTTGGCAAATGTGTGTGTGTGTGTGTGTGTGTGTGTGTGAGTAAATCCAGGGTGGGAATCAGCTGTTGGTATATCTGTGATACACCAGTCAGTGGATGAGCAAATGCAAGTGCTCTCTCTCTCTCTCTCTGTCGCCTTACATTTATGCCCATCCCCCGCATCCCCACCCCTCAAATTCAGCTCTCCATCTCCCCTATTTTGCAACCAAACCCTCTTCCTGTGATCCACCAGCGCACGCACACACACACACACACACCATACGCACTCTCCTTGTTGTGATAATCGCTGGTATTCTCTTCCCCTCTCTCTGTCTTTCTTTCACATTGTCTTCCTCTTGTCTGAAGTATGTGGGGTGCAGAGCAGCTCGCTCTCTCTCTCTCCTTCTCGTTCCCCACCTCTCTCGCTCTCCTCTCTCCTCCACTCTCGCGGCTCTCTTCGGCTGAGCTCTCGCTCAGGAAGACCAGGAGGAGGAGGAGGGAGGCGGGAGGGAGGAGGAGGAGGAGGAGGAGGTGGTGGTGGTGGTGGTGGAGAGTGCGCGAGATAGAGGAGGGGGGGACATGGCAATGGGGGGATGCGGAGAGAGAGATTTCTCTCTCTCCCTCTCTTCTTCGTGGCCGTCACTGGGCCCCAGAAACAGGAGCGTGTGGTTCATTTACAGGTAGCGGCTGTTTCCTCATTCATTGGCTGGCTATGGATGTGAGGAGAGGACAATGGAGAGAGGGGAGAGGTAGATGATGCTATTGAGAGGCCGTGCCTTTTCAAAGACAGACTAATAAGCTATGTATCTGTACGTGCGTGTGTGTCTCTGAGTGTGCGTGTGTGCTGATGTGCGCGTGTCTTAAATTTGTATTTTTCCTATGCATGTGAATATCTGTGGGACGGTAGTGGCTATTGAATGGAGACTCTGCAGCATGTTTATTTCTGTGTCTTCCTCCCGTGTGTCTCTGAACGCGTGTGTGTTAGTGCGTGAAAGGGAGCACATATTGATGCATTTCAGTCAGACAGTGTGGGTGTATTTCATTCTCTTTGAGTCATGATTTCTTTAAGCAGATATTTTTCATTCACCAGGACTTCCCATTTATCCCTGTTCCTTTAAAAAATGCTGCTGTCACATCCCATATTTTTTTCTGTATCCCATTGTATCATTAAAAATGTGTGGTATTTTGACTGTACAGAAGGATGTATGTGAATAAGTCAATAAGTGGCAAGAGTGCGGGTTTGTCAGTTCCTTTTCGAGCTCTCATTTGAGATACCGGTCATTTCTGTGCACGTCTGTGTGTGTGCATGCATTCTCGTTTATGTGTGTGTGCATGAGACTATATACACTGAATAAAATATATGTGGTCTTCACATATAAGTGTATACGTCATAGTGCTTAATTGCTGTGGGAGTATCTCTCCTGCACATACATCTATGTATATGCACTGTTCATCCATCTCTCCATCCACAGTGTGTGTCACTAACATCTGTCACTTGTGATGTGTGGGTATTGTCCACACATAACCAGTCTATTTGCATGTGCATTCAGCAGGTGAATGGTTAAAAAGCTGCCTTTTTTCTCAGTAATTGTGGATAGAAGAGAGGATGACTCAGGAGGGTACATAATAACTCTGGTCTCTAGTAGGCTTACAGCTCCATTGCAGCCAGTTCAGAGAGAGTGTGTCCTACAGCCAGCAGAGATTAACCACAGACATTTGCTCTTTTTATGGCTCCAATTGGTCGGGCCACAGAGATCAGTACGGTGGCAGATGAGCTGAACAGTTTTATATATGTAAAGTAAACCAGGTGTGTTACTGCAAGCCAGCAACAGAACTTAGAACCACCCGGAGGACCAACACGGGACATGGTTCCCCCTTGTAGAAGTGGATGGATGAAGAGCCCGATGGATCCGTCCACCCACTCCGTGTTACTTTGATCCTCCGAGAGGGAAAGCATGATGGAGGACAGGGTGAGAGAAAAAGGAATGAGGTGTGAGGAGCAGATGGCTGGAAGGCGGCTGTGCGTTGGCGAAACAGTAACATTGATGGAGAACACACAAGGGATGGACCTCAGTAGGGGAAAGTAGTGATCGTCTGTTCAGTGCTAAAGTTACGGTTTGGTGTCGAGTCTGGATCTTCAGGCCTGTGGGGCCAATGCTCATGACTCTGCTGTACCTTGTGATTCCACAACCAAACTTTGTTTATTGCATGCTCTGTCAGATTAAATACACAAGAGCTTGCTGTGTCTGCACAGTAAGAGACAGTGTGGAAAATAATATTGTGGTGTTATTGTTATTTTAGCATCAGAATACTAGAAGTGGCCGAGGCCAAATGAAGTTGGAGTGATTGAGTCCTCTGCCAGACATTAAAAAAAAAAAAAATGATGTTAATGTCTGCTGCCTGAAACCTAAAAGTAAAACAAAATGTTGTCTTTTTTAAATGATACACTGATTTTTCTTTTAAGTGGTTACATGGCTGAGTTACAGTGATGAGTGCCTGGCTGCAGACATTATTGTCAGGCAGCCGAACAAATGGTTCTGTTTAGGTTAAGGTTCAGTTCAGCACCACAGTTTGGGTTTTGGGTTTGCTGACTCCAGCAAAGGATATATTTAAATTGGGTCTCTATGTGCTGCTTCTCATTCACCTTAACTTCCTATTTAACAAAGGGAGGGACAAAAAAAATTGTATTCCCATTGGAAATTATGTCCTTGAGTATACCCAGTATTTTCACTGCATTGTTTTGGAAGTCAAGCTATCACTAAAAATAAAGGCAGTTCTTCAACCAGGCCACTCACTCCGTTCACTCATAGTTCAGCCCTTCTAGGAAATCATATCCTTTGATTCGATTTCAGTGGGAGTGTCAATTTGAGTTAACGTTCAGGAGCACAAACTAACACAGAAATGAGCTGCCTAGGAAAGAAATATCTGGAATTCCTCTTAAATCATAGAGCTCTGCTCAAGCCCCGGGCTCTCCAACAGAACCAGGGTGAATTGACATTGTTAGAAAGTCAAGCCCAGAAATGAGTCATGAGATGTGGCTCTGTGTGGAGTCCATTTAAACAATCCTATATTAGAGGAAAGATTGTAAAGCAGCTCGGCCAAAAGTCCCAGACATGGTAATAGAATAATGAAGGAACTTGCTGGGCCAGCCGATACACTACTCCAACCATCTCATAATAAGATTGCATCACAAATGTCTGTGATCACTGTTTCTGCCGTCTCAAGCTGTAGTCTTTGAGCGAGGGGAGCTGTTTGTGGAGGGAGATTAGAGGCCTGTCCAACTTCTTCTTGTACATAATTTGAAGTGTCATGTATGACCGGTTGTGGTGCGCTGGAGTTGGTAAAGCAGTATCCTTGCAAAAGCTGCCAGAGGCGGTGAAAGCTAATGCAGCGATTTAGGTGCATTTGGAAGTTTCCATTATCAGTGAAGTGTATGTGCACATTTTTCTAATGTGCCGTTCCCCGTGGCCCAGTGCTTGTCAGCTCGAGCTGGATTAGTCCATAGTATGGAATGTCATCTCATGTTCACTTCCTCCCATTGTGACACTTACTGTATCCCTCCCATCAACCCTTTTGTGCACCGGCGCTTTTTGTATGACATTCTCAAGCCAACCTATCTTTTGCTGCAGTGTGATTTCATAATGTGATGCAGTATAGCTGTTTTCCACATTCAGAAAATGCTTTATTTGCATGACAATAACACTTTTCTGTTGCTATAGAAGTCATATAGCTCTCTTCCTCTCCAATTCTCCCTCTTTTTCTCCCTGTCTCTCTCCATTGCCGTTTCCCCCTCTTGTCTTGTCCCTCTTTACTCCCTCTAAGTGACTACATCATTAAGGAGAAGACAGTGCTCCTACAGAAGAAAGACAATGAGGGCTTTGGCTTTGTGCTTAGGGGAGCCAAAGGTGAGCCTCTTCTCCAAAATTCACAACATATTCCTCCGTCTCTATAGATTTCTCAGTCTCATATGCTCTGTTTCTCTCTCTCTAATCTCTCTATCCCTTCCTCATTTTCAAACGCATGTTCTTGTTATCTGTGTCCACTCAACCTCATCCTTTTTGTCTTATCCTCCTCAGCTCAGACTCCCATAGAGGAGTTCACTCCAACGCCAGCGTTCCCCGCGCTGCAGTACCTGGAGTCTGTCGATGAGGGGGGCGTGGCGTGGAGGGCCGGCCTGAGGATGGGGGATTTCCTCATCGAGGTAAAGACAAGATGCATTTTGGACTAATGCACACATTAAACCAAACATTGAACTTAATCTGAGCTCCTGAGTTTTACCAACAACATGCTTTATCCAGAAGCCATGTTTGGATGAAACATGAAAAAAAAAAACGGCCTTACTGATGCACTTACATTTCTGGATCCATTTTATTGTTTGATGGAGTAAATTTCTCACATTGAACTAGTCAAATAATTTCCTTTTAGAGTTAGGACAATTCAAAAACCGCACAGGAAGAGCTCCATGGTGAAACAGAAGCTAGGATACACACTTTCCCATTGACAGAGCTTTAATGAATCATTATGCAACAAGCTACGTGATGCACAGTGTCACATTTTGAGTGAGACGCTCAACACATTTTTTACATTTAAAAAAAATAAATAAATAACAACACTGGTGCTTTCTCTTCTGTCACGTATTAAATGTGACGACGTTCCTTTAAGAATGTCAAAAGTCTTTCTGGTTAATGTAGTAAATTAAGAGACCAGGCAGGCTGAAGAGAAGTGGGTACACGAAAAAGTGTGGTAAATTTTCATACTATAGTTTTCATACTTTTTTTTTTGTTTGTGTATATATTCTGTATGTAATGTATTTTAGTCAGAGTGGGTGAGGGGACTGGTGTACTTGAGATCGCTGTTCCTCACTGGTGAAGCACCAGCATTTCAGGCAGCAACTTTCTGGCCATGTTGTAGCTTTAAATGTCGCTGTATGTTGCCTTAAAAACTCAGTTCTAAAAATGGTGATTGTCAAACCTCTATTAAATCTGACACATACAGCTAATTGGTATTCAACCTAATATGACTCACTTATGCTGCCCAACCTTTGTAACTGTGATTTATTGTACTCGCTGCCTGCATTGCCGGTGCATCTGTCCAAAGCACAAGGATGATGTATGTTTGAAGCTAAGTCTTAAAAACCAGAGAAAAGCTACATCATCTAGGGAACTAGTGGTCACAAGTAGACCTCTTCTGTGTTATAAGGTGTCTCTGTTTTTGTTTCCACCCCCCTGTAACAAGAGTTGATTTTTCATTCAAATGGAAATTAATGCAACACATCCGCTCATTCTGCATTCAGTCCTTCTGTGTCTTTGTGTGTGTGTCAGGTGAACGGCCAGAATGTGGTGAAGGTTGGCCACCGGCAGGTGGTCAACATGATCCGACAGGGCGGCAACAGTCTCATGGTGAAAGTCGTCATGGTTGCTCGAAACCCTGAACTGGAGGACACTGCTCGGAAGAGGGGTAAGAGTCACACTTTCCTCGTATGTTTTTTCCATCCTATGTTTATGATGTGACGATAAAGCTGATTGCATGTTTACTTCATCCTAAAAGGCTTTAGCGATGTGGTTGTCTTTGGTGACTGTATGTTTATACGAGAATACTAAACATTAAGTCTGCATTTGGCTGGCTTCCCTTGGCAGCCCCGCAGCAGACTAAAAGACTGACTCCTCCTGCCATTGCCCTGCGCTCCAAGTCAATGACATCAGAGCTGGAAGACATGGGTAAGATGATAGAGGAGACTAAAGATTGAAAGCAAAGAACAAAATGAGGGGAGGCCTGGAAAGAGCATATGAAAAAATGAATTAAATTCATGTCCCCCACAGTTTTTTGGGGGGGGTGGTGGTCACAATGAAAAAGCTTCTTTTTGGTGGGTTAGCAGCTTCTCTGCAGGATGATGGTACAGTACTATGGCACTATTAAGGAAACACAGCATTAAATATTAACCGAGTTGATGCAGGAAGCCAAGAAAATGATCTAGTATGGGTGCGATTTCATTTTTAGTTTGTTTGGGGAAGTAGTCTTTTGATCCATTTGCACTTTTGACATTAGCTATTGAGAAGACAGGTGATAATTAAACAATGAAGCTATGAAATGTAAAAACAATTGCACGTTGTGAAATGCCACTTGTGTGACGCCATCATTCACAAACCGTTCTTTGTTTTTCTTCTCCACCAAACCAAATGTGCTGCGTACAGTGGACAAAGGTGGGAGAGTCATGGATTTGTGTGCTCTCATTATCATTTCTGTTCCCATCACCATCCCTCTCATCACATCAGCGTTCACACATTCACATGTGTCTGAGTATGTATTTCATCCTTTCATCTGCTTTATACACATGACTACACAGCAGCTCTAGTCACACCTAATTTCTGTTTCCCGAATTATGTATGCTACAGCTGCCTCTCCATGGAAAAAGAAAGCAGGTGAATATCAGCCTTTATCATTTCCCCTATCAGCCCCTGAGCTTTAATTAAAAGTCAGCCTGTTTGATGCTCTTTTTTTCTCCTCCTTTTTTCAGAGTACGAGTCCTCTCAGGGTCCTGATAAGAAGAGGACAGTCTATCAGATGGCACTAAGTAAGAAACCAGTCTTACTGCTCTTGTCATACTGTGAGAGTGTGTTTTTTAAACCTTGGGGGGACAGGAGGGCTCTCGCTGAAATCCTCCTTTCCATGTTTCTTCCTTTATTTTATGCTCCCTCTTACTGCCCTTGTTTTGTGGCCTGCCCCTGCTCTGTCTTTGTTTTAGATAAACTGGATGAAATCTTGGCTGCTGCCCAGCACACTATTACATCAGACAACCAGGGCCAGAGAGGTCATGGGGGCAAGAGGGACCGGAGCAAGAGCATTGTTCCCAATGTCTCCAATGAGGTACTGTTGGGAATTGGAAGGAAATGATCCTAGTTAGGGTAATTACCATAATGTCCTAATAGCTTATTAGATTCAATTTCCTTATAATCCACAAAATATTAGCAAATACTGAACACCTATGGACCTCTCTCCCAGTCCTGCAAGATCAGATTCACATGCACATCAGAGTTTCTCCATTGCTTTAAGATGCAACACAGATTCAGTCAAGGAAGTGACTAATACTAGCAAAAAAAAGATTGCTATCTATAAATCAGCTTGGTGTTTAGCTTGTTTTTAGCCCTGTGTGTTGTCCTGCCCTCCCTGCACTTTGGAGAATGATTGACAATGGACCACCCACATCAAAACACTTGTTTAACTATGAGTCAGGTTGTGTCCATTCATCTATGCTCTGTTGCCTGATACACTAATACTCCGACTGACTAGTCTTTGTGTATTGCATTTTACTGTAGATCAAATCAATGTCGGCTTAATATCCAACTTCAGTTTTATTTGATTATATCTGAGTAAATGTTTCCTCTCCTCTATTTACTCCCTCCGCCCTTTAAAATATTCTTTTGCTCCCTTGTCTTCTTTTTAAAATGTGTTTCCACACCTGAAGCAACCGTATGAGCAGCAGTCTTCAGTGAGTATGGCGCAGCAAGGACCAGGTTTTGGCTACAACCAAGCTCATTTTCAACCAGGCCACGGTCCTCAGCATGCAGTCATGATGCGTCAAAAATCTATTGGTAATGGCAATTGTCATGGAAAGATTTCTGCCCACTCGGTATATGAGTGTCTGTTTGTAACTGCCTGTATCCGTGTGCTCAGGTGTAACAGAGGAGGAAAGGCAGTACCTCCACCCACCTGCTATGAAGCTGGCTCGCAGCCTGTCAGTGCCAGGACCAGAAGAAATCCCCCCACCCCCTAACACATCCGCCCCAGAGCCGCCTTTATCTGCAGGCCCTCATCCTGTGAGAGGGCCTGCTATGCCCATACCCCCTGTATCTCAAGCCCACTACCAGCTCCACTCCCAGCCGGGGCATCCTACTCAAGCAGGCTGGGAGAGGGGAGGCCCTGGTGGGATGAACCAGCAGGTCATGGTCCCCACCCTCAGGAGACAATCGGAAGGACTGTGTGTCAGAGAACCGGAGGCGCCCAGGAGAGGTGGTGGCAAAATGGGAGGGTTAAGGAGAGGCTATAGCAGTGCTACACCACCGACAAGTGCTAAACCTAAGGCCCAACAAGCACCACAACATCACCCGCACATCGCCAACCGGGAGCAAGGTGGAGGGGTCGGCAGGGGGGCAGCCAGGAGGGGTGGTCGAGGAGCTCTAATGAAGCAGTCGAAAGTGGAAGATGGGGTGCGGCAGCACAGATCAAAGGGAGGTGCAGCCAAAGAGAAGAGCTCCATCCCCATCCCCACCATCATCGTCAAAGCGCCCTCCACCAGCAGCAGTGGCCGAAGCAGCCAGGGTAGCAGCATGGAAGCTGAACCCACCCAGGATGTAGACGACACCTCGGCAGATGCAACCACAGACAGCCCCAATACCAGTCTACCTTCACCGCTCACCTCTTCACCACCTCAGCCCCCTACATCCACTTCTTTGCCTTCATCAACTGTTGCCCCTCCTGTCTCCTCGCAGCAAAACCTGGAAAACTTGGATTACACTTCAACGTATGGCTCGGCCTTTGGGGGAGGAGGAGCACGCAGGGACAGAGAGCGTTTACGAGATATGAGAAGAAAGAGCGCTTCTTTCTTCCTCTCATCTGAGGAGGACATTCAAGGAGAGGCGGGAGGAGGAGCAGTAGAGGGAGGAGGAGCACTTGGGACAAGAATCCAGCCTTTGCAGGGTTCACAAATGGATGTACCTACGCCTCGACTCCGCCCCTCCAAGTCTATAGATGAGGGCATGTTTTCTGGAGACAGCTACGTCAACTATTCCAGCAGCATGCCCCCAGCCTTCGGCCTACCTGAGTATTCTTCCCCTATCCTCAGTCAGGATGGACAGCCCAAGTCGGCTCCCTCAATGTACGGCACCCAGCCGGCCACTACCTTCATCCATCCACTTACAGGGAAAGTTCTTGACCCTTCATCTCCACTTGGCCTGGCCCTGGCAGCAAGAGAAAGGGCTTTAAAGGATGACCGCAGGACGCGGCGAGAGGACAGACACTTTGGTCGGCAGCTGTCCACAGTGGGAGCGTTTCCCACCCCTGTTCAGACCCCGACTCCTTCCCTATTTGCAACCCCTACACAATCAGCCTACACTTCCCCGGTGTCTCTCCACCTAAGCTCCCCCACTGCCACCACCTCACCTGCATCTCTTAGCCGGCCACAGTCACCAAGGATATTACGTTTGGGAGGAGGAGGTGGGGAGAGGGTGGAGAGGGAAAAAGAGGGAGGACCCAGAGAGGGTCTTAGAGTTCGCTTCTCAGAGGACAGGACCAGTCAATACTCAACCCAGTATTACCCACAGAGCCCCAGGGAGAGAGAAAGAGAAAAGGAGATGTACGACAGCAGACCTGCTCCACCCATACAGCCTCCTCCACCTCCGGCTCAACCTGCCCCGCGCAGACCTTCCTTTCTGCAGATGGAAAGCACTACAAACACCAGCTACATCCCTCAGTACACTGTCCCCACAGCCCCAGCACAGACACATGAAGCTATGGGAGATGTAAGAGCAGGGGGTGGAGGTCTAGGACTGATGGTTCTCCCTCCACCAGCTCCCTCAATAGACGCAGATGACGAGTTTGTCTTTGCAGATCCCTTGCCCCCTCCTTTACAGTTTGCTAATGGTAAGAACGAGAGAGTCCAGGAGTTTCCTCAGCGGCATCAACACCCGAGTCAACACTCTGCTGCTGTGGCTCCACCTCCCCCACCGCCTCTTCCATCTGCCAAGCCCTCAAACGTTCCCCAACCCTCTCCACAGGGCGGCGACTCAGCTGCCTCCAGCCTTACCTCCTACGACAGCGAGGTAGCCAACCTCACACAATCGGCTCTCTCTCCGTCTTATCCTTCCCCACAGATATTTCCCCCTTCATCCACCACCACCACCACCACCACCTCTGCTACTGCTGCTCTGCCTCCCACATCACTACACAGACCCCAGCCCATGTCCCATTCTCATCCCTATTACAGCAGCTCTAATGACTCCTCAGTAGGTGGTCACACCCCAGCCCAGGACAGAGGCACAGCCGCCCTCACCACCACCATGACCTATGCTACCACTACCATGACAGCCACTGCTGCCGCTGCCACCACCACGACTTCACCGGCATCCTCTGACTATAGCATGACCATGGCCGGGCCCAGGGCGGGCCTCAGCATGGGGGGAAAAGCTGCTGACCACACTCATCACACTAATATTTTACCCAAGAGCGGAGACTGGCAAGATGCTGTGGTGGATTCTGGGATTGAGGAGCTGGACAGTCACAGCAGTAGCGACCACCATTTAGAAATGCTTGGACTGAGTGGGCTGAGAGGAGAGAGGGGAGGGGTCGGAGGAGACGGGCGAGGAGGAGAGGGAGAGAGAGGCAGTGAACATCAGGATCCTTGTACAACCTACTCAGGTGGGCAAACATTTGAGGTGCACAGTGCCAAACTGGCAAATCCTGTGTTTCCAAAGATGACTCATTACAAGGAGGGGGGAGGGAGGGGCCAGTCTGTAGCACTACGTAGGCAGAACAGCACCAATCCTGCTCCCTTGCAGTTGCAGAGACAAAGCAACCCAGAAGATACCAGGTTGGATGGAGCTCTAGTAGATGAAAGGAAGCGTAAGCAGAGTCGATCCAAAATGGAGGATGGCTTTAGCTCCGCCTTGGCTGCCTGCTTAGAGAGACCTATTGACACTCGGTCGGTGGGCTGGGGTGAGGTCGAGGAGCTTGAGCAAGGTGTAGGACTCCAGAGAGGTGGTATGGTTTTGGAGAGCCGCAGGCTGCACTCGCCTCTTTCAGGTGTGAAGGCCAGCATCATCAATGAACTCAGCTCCAAGCTGCAACAGATGAGTAGCATGAAGAGCATGGACGACTGGAGCCACACTCCCAAGTCACCCACCATGCATAGGTTTGTTTGCCGTCCTTGATATTGAAATAACGGTTTGCATATCTCCTTATTTCAAATGAAGTTCGATGTTTGAATTTAAAGTTCACACGTTCATTTTTGTGTCTCTCAGGTATTCAGCGGATTTCACAGACGCATTTCACAGCCCCCCCACCGGCCGCTCCACCTCGCCATTACCCACATCCTCCCCACAGCACCGTCAGATCCTGACACCCAACCTGTCAGCCACCCCTTCTGTCTCCCCTTCCCCTCAAGTACCAGTTCAACGCAACTGGACCCGATCCCCTTCCCCACAGATGCCCTCCTCTCCGGTTCATTCCCACCCTCCCCATTCCCCAACCTACTGCCCATACCCGACATCACCGAAGCATCGGTCTAAGTTCCGCAGGCAGACTTTTGATTTCCAGTGCAGTCCCACAAAGGAGATGCGATCTTCAGTCTCTCGGCGCCGTGCTCCAAGCCCTCTTATCTATAACACAGAACAACCAAACCCCACCCCCCCAAGACCCTCCTCGCTCCCCATACTTCCCAGCACACCAGTCTACAACAACCCTTTTGACTTCCCCGGGCCCCTCACTCCTCCTTCTCCTGGCCTCCCTCTAGGAGACACCTACAAGGCTTCAACACCTCCATTATTCTCCCCATCTGGTGTGCCAAGTCCAAACCCCCTACTTGTCTCCCGCTCTCTCTCCCCCACCCATTTTCTCTCTGGAGCCTCCTCCCCCATGCATTTACCCCCCAGCCCGTCTTGCCTCAACTATCCCCATCTCACCCCTCCTCCACCAGCCAAACCCTTTGCCGTCAAGCCCCTGCCCTACTGGACCAAGTACGATGTGGCGGACTGGCTGGCTTATCTAAACCTGGGTGAACACAGAGAACGTTTTATAGACAATGAGATAGATGGATCGCATCTGCCTTCGCTCACCAAGGACGACTTCTTGGACCTGGGAGTGACACGTGTGGGACACCGAATGAACATCGAGAGGGCGCTGAAGAAACTCACTGACAGGTGAGGGAGGACTAATAGACTCTGGAACACGTAGACGCAACGGGGTCAAAAGGTCAAAAAGGAAGGTGGAGGAAAGTCAAAGTGTCTCATTCCTTCCATACAACTTAGCTGGACCATCCCCTTTCTTCATTAGATGCATATCATTTGATAAGTTATCCCGTCCTCCCTCCATCCTTTTCTCTTTCTCTTTATTAATCTGTTTTATCAACCCTATTTAGTTTGCTCCGTCTTTATTTAAGTTCTAGCCATTCTTATTCTTTGATTTGCCCTCCTTCTCTCCCCAGGCGACTCTCCTCTCCTTTGCATGTTACCACTTCTCCCCGAGACACAGACTGAGAGTGAAGGGGTGATTCAAATTGAAACAAATTGACAAAGATGAACAATAACAGAAGATGTGCAAGAGAAGAACAATGGACATCATCAGGTTGCGTTGAATTAAGACTAAGGGCTGGACATGTGGGGGAAAGTGTTGTCTTACAAATTTGCTTCACATGTAGAGAATATTATTGTGAAATTTGTGGAATGACTTCTGGTCAAGAAAGGGTACAAAGAAATAAGAATATCATATGACAGTGACGCTCTTCAACTGAAAATACAATTTAAAACTTTTGATGGACAGGCATTTAATTAACGCACCGTTTTGTGCTGTAAAAGACAAACACATATACACACACACTCATATTCTCACACACACTGACAGATGGATTCTCACACCATCTGCTGCTCAGCAGCACTGAGAAAACTTCAGTCTGAGTTCAAAGAAAAGTTGAAAAGTTGCTGCTTAAAGGGTAAAACCCAGTAACGTGTTAGTGATTGTGGCTGAAAACAGAAACATTAGAGCCACATCCCAACATCAGTTTTGTAGCTTTAAGCAGATCAGAGTATCTAATGGCTGTGATTACTGGAGCCAAAGTCAGAATACGAGAGAAAGAGTTTTGTTTGTAAATGATGATAGAGGAAAATGATAGACAACAATAGTATTCTTTTTATATATTTGCCATATTCCCCCAAAGGATGCCCCGGTAAGCTTTGTATGTATGTACTTTGCGAGCACTAAATATATCTTACATGTTAAACGGGATTCACTATTAGTAGAACCATTTGTTTTGTACTAAGTGCTGATCGCAATCATTCATTTCAAAACTGTCAGGGTATTTAAAACTGTTGAAGTTGTGAATAATGAGGATATACAGACATTGAGAAAATATTGTTGGGAAATGACCTTTTATTATTTTCCTGATTATTCTTTAGAAAGGAGAGGAAATTTTGAAGAGAAATTGAAAAGAGTTTGCATGTTATTTCAAACTGCAAATCTCTCCGAGACTTTATTGGTGTTTATGGCCATAGCACAGGTCAAGGGATGGATCCATCCTCTTTGATGCCATAATGTGGACCGCTCTCTCTCTCACACAGCAGGTGCAGTGATCAAAAAGGGCTTTTTACTGCTTCTCTGTCTGCCTGACTTCCTCAACCTTCAGCCTCTGTGAGTCTGTGTGTCTGATTTTGTGCGTGCGTGTTCGTCAGCCTGCGTTGGTGGCTAAATGCTTTCCCTGACCTACACCTTTCTCTTTCTAATGCCTTTTCCAAAACATTTATAACAGTCAGAAAACTTTTCTTTTTTTTTCTTCTTCTTTTTTTTCACCGGTTGACAATCCCAATGTTTTCCTGTTCCACACATAAACCCTCAAAAAGAAATACTCTGACCCACTTTTCAAAAAGGTTTTTTCAGAATGAAAACTAATCGTAAATACTGTATATGTTACATAGAGGTGAACATGAATGCCCTGGATTTTTTTTAACATGCCAGTTTAGCCATTCCCTGCAGTGAATTCAACTGTTAGGCAAAAACACATCATTTATAGATCTATATGTAATGATGATGATGACAATGATAACATAAAAATATAGTATAATAAAGATAATATTATTAAGTATGTAAACATTTTTAAGAATCTCCGTCTTCCAAATAGTGTGGACAAATTCTTTGAAGCTTTGTTTGGTTTGTGTTTCATTTGGGGTTTTCTGTAAATGCTTTCTATACTGCTCGCCCTGTGGTGACCTCAGTGAAGCTGACACGTTAGTTAATGTATATTTCTCTCTGTGAGTTTAAAATTATGACTCTGTATTCTCATGCTGAGTTGCCTAAATGCTATTTCATGATGGATACTATTCCTGAGAAGCGAAAGGACTGAGCAGTAGTGTAGAAAGCATTACATACTATGATTTAAAAGAGTATTTTAGGTCTAGTGAAATGCATAATGAATATGACTACATACAGTATGAGCATAAGTATGCAGAGATAAAAGGTATATATATACATATATATATATAGTTATATATATATATAAAGTTTTGTTTTAAATAAAAAAAAGTATATACTGATAAACAATATGATAGAGGTACAACTAAGGTGTTGAAATAAATGCTAAAATAAACTATGGCCCTGCCGTGATTCTCATTTCTCCATGGATTCCCTCTTTTGACAGATTCACATAATGATCCAATTTAAAGTGCTGTGTTTGAATTGAGTCATTTGGCAGCAGCTCATATCAGCCCTGCGGTGGTTCAACACAACATTGTTTTCAGGTCCAGGATTATTTTCCCATCAGGCTTGGTGAGCTAAAGGCACAAAAGAGTGGAGCTCATGGGGAGGGAGAAGATGAGATGGCTTAATTCGAAGCAAGCAGTGGCTGCATTCATGCAGCAAAACGAGAGACGCCTGCGAGGCATGGAGAACAATGAAAAACGACTTGGAAGAAGATGAATGGGAGATTGTTTGCTAGCATGGTGTCCAGTTTAAAGTTCGTGGCTGAAAACTGTAAATACTGTTATTTTGTTTAAGGTTGTGCCAGTGGTCCAGGTTTCCCCTTCTTTGTATTTCTCCAGTTGGGGTCTGCTCGTAGTTAGTGAAATTACAGATATTAGGGCTTGTTTTTCTCCTCTCACAGTATGACAGCGTGACAGAAACTTCCACAGAGAAAAACACTTCTCACCACACATGAAGCTTTAATTAGGTTTTCTCAAAATGTCTTTATTTAACAGTTACTTCATGTGATCTGACTCATACAATCTCCAGTCACCCTATGCTGCCATTACCTTTCATGGAGACTGTTTCTTTAGTAGAAACTACAGATGCGTGACAAAATGAAGGAGAAACCATCAGATGTCTTTGCCAGGTGTTGAGCTCCCACGTGCCACCAGAACATCATCAGTGCTCCTTGGATTAGACTCTGCAAGTCTCTGGACCTCTACTGGAGGTATGAACACCATTCCTTCTAGAGGTACACTCTCATTTAGTGTTTAACTGACAGTGGTGGAGAGCGCTGTATAAACACATTGCTCCAACGGGTGTTCATTTAGGGTGAGATCTGCTGCATTTGCATTTGTTCAGGTGAACTGACAGTTTCATGTCACCTGGCATCTACTGGAAGAAATGTACAGTAAATCTCCTCCAGGACTTATTGTAACCCTCAAAAACATGTCACCGTGTTTTCATTTAGTTTAGTCTAATTAACATTGTGAACAGGGACGTGTTAAATTACAACAAATTGTCAAGGATGAAACACTGAAGATAGTTACAGTTCATTGTGGTGTTTCATAAAAAGACAATAGATACAGGAGTCTTAGTGACATCGTCAATAAATATCACATAAATAACTTTAACCTTTTTTTTTGATTTGTGGTTGTCTCCCATCTTTTTAAGGCATGAAGACAACTTACTTGAGTTTCTGGCATCATAGAATCCAAAAGAACAAAGCTGATATTAAACCACAGCAACTACAAGTGAGAAACAATATCTTTTGTCTGGTGTGTTGTGTGCAAGATGTCTTTGAGCTACTCGGCGTCTGGATAATGGATTTTTGAAGAGTATTCCTTTTATGCAGCATTCATCGTGAAAAGACTGAGAAATCTCAACCAGATGCAGACAGCAGCGAACAAACTGTAACTCTGGATGACACAGGTGTTCTCTTTTAACTCCTGGCAAATGTCCAGAAGAGCACAGACCAGAATAAGTAAACAGTGGTGTGTGTGAACATGCTATATATTGTTCTCCCTTTGACGGGCTCTGTTTTCTAGGCCTGACCAGAGAGAGAATGTCGGGTCACAAAGGAGCACGGGGCTAATGTGGCAGTTCACAGGGATACCCCCACCCCCCCAAGCCCCCACCCTCTTCTGCTGTCACACGCACTCACTAATAAGCTCACATGACTGTGTGCCACACTGACACGAATCTGCGACCAGCAAACGGCCAAAATGAAGGTTCAGCATCTCATTAGCACCATATTGAGAGAGACAGAGGGAGGGGACGGGCAGGGAGAGGGAGAAGGAGGGGGGGGGGATTCCTCCAGCTGTTTTTCTAATAGAGTGGAGAGAAAGTGAGAGGGTGATAGTCAAAGAAGGGCCGGAGACCTAAACAGCCTGATAGGAGGAAGACAGAGAGTTAAAGAAGCAAAGGATGGGGTTAAAGTAAGGGAGCAGAAGAGAAAGAGGAAGAGGAGTTCATCCTGGAATGACTGTGAACTAGAATATCACAGCTGACGGGGGAGTAGAGCAAGAGAGGTAAGTTTCTTCCTCCTTCTTTGTTTGCCCTGAAGCCAATTAGCGGCGGAGTGATTACCATGCAAATGCTCTGATTTGTTTAATTTTTTTTTTCTCTTTCTCCTTGCTTGCATTGTCACGGTGTCTCACGCCCACTCTCAGATCAACACTGTGTGTGTGTGTGTATGTGTGTGTGTGTGTGTTTGTGTGTGTAACTTTAAGTGCCAAGGGAAAACTGGGTCAGCAAGACAGGAGAGAGGGAGAGAAGCATGTGTTAGAGGAGGGGAGGCACACTGGGACAGGAGGAGACGGGCAGAAAAATGAAAAGAAATCCTCAGTAGCCCTTGAACTACAGTAACAAGTGGTCACTTGAGTAATCACTGGTGATTCAGAGAGAAATGTAAGTGCTGGTTGCTCACAGGCATGACTGCTCTGCTGCTGCTTTTTGCTTCTTTTTGGCTTGTGGATGGTGTTTTTTTTTTTTTTTTTTGCATTAAAATACTTTGGTATGAATGCGTCTGTGTGATAAAATGAGAGTGAGCTGTGGAGTCCCGTCTCAAACCTCTTCCATTTCTCTGCATGAGCAACAGCAGAACCAGGGTAAAGTTAAAAAGCGACTCTTAAGTGAAGCCTTCGGGGACTTTCTGCCATGTTTCCACTTGCAGAGTTCATAGCGAGTGAGAAAAATGGTGAAAAGACACGATAATATACGTATGAAGACCATCTAGCTGAGAGAAAGAAGGTCTTAGATGAGCCTGACTCTCTGTCATGCTCAGTCTTGTGATGAGGTGTGGTTAGTCACTTTCATATTACTCAGCCTGCAATGTGTCAGCCCAGACAGAAATAGGCCCAAATGTGACAGCGTCCTTTGCTTGTTTGTGCATGCATCTCCCTGCTTTTGTTCAGTCTGCGTCTTGTCTCCAGTATATCTGCCACATGTACTTTGCTTTTACATGCTGTGCAAAAGTGTCTGCTGTGTGAACGGTTTATTCCTTTTAAAATCCTACGTTCCTGTTTGGTTGCCAGATTAGAAAAATCTGTTGCACCCTTGTGGTCATGATCTCTGAATTGAATCAAGTCAGAGTGGGAGACAGTAGGCCTTGTATTAGTCAGAGCAAAGGGAAAGATGACCTTTCTACGCTGTTTATTTTGGGAAGGCAACAGGAAGAATGCCGGAGCAGCTGTTCTATTCCTGCTGGCAGATCCCACCCCTGTGAATTCCAGTCTGCCACTGCAACGACACTCCCCTTACTCACGCAGGGGGGTTGGATGTATCCAAGCCCTGTACAGTGTAAATAATACCTCATCAAGATCATCTAAGTTGTTATGGCAATAAGCTCAGCAACACACACACACACACACACACACACACTGCAAAGCTTCAGCCGCCAATTATTTCCTAACAGACATGCCTGCCATACAGAGGCAATACCTCTGTTTATGAGGAAGTCCGTCTGCTGTATCTGCACATTACACCGCGTAGACGTCCAACCTGTTGCACGATAATCAGTGTCACCTGCCTGCCAATAAAAACAGTCTTCCCATGCTTGTTATGCATCTTAACCAGCCTGGCAACTCTCTTGAATCACACAAGCTGCTATCTTTTGTTTTCAGAGACAGACACGTTCCCAATAATGGCGAGTCTCCCCAAAGAGCCACCCGAGGATGCAAAGAAACAGAGCTTCTGGATGGTGAGGATTATATCTATGATCAAATCTAACAAAACTACCACCCTAGGAATAGCTTGTCGATCCAAAACAATACTTGTGTGTTTGTGAATGGCTTGTTATTTTTACATTTCCTCACTATCGGTCTTCCTCTCTGCCTGTCTTCCCAGCCGGGCAATTATGTGCGTACAGTGCACCGAACTGAGCAGTCCTTCCAGGCCTGCAACGACATTGTGGCCTGTTTCATGGAGAGAGCAAAGGTAGAAAAACAGTACGCCCAGCAGCTCAGCCAGTGGAGCAGCAAGTGGAAGTCCATAGTGGATTCTCGTAAGTATGAGAAGCTGCATGATAGCCGTACAGCCGTGGTGGCCTAAAAGCAGAGAGCATGCATTCCCAGGCTTTTTTGATCATGTCAGCTCTCCTCTCCTCGAATCGTATTAAACAAGAGCATCTGTGTTTGTTTGAAAATTTCCAGTGAACGAATGAAGGTCATTGTTTCTTTATTGTTTCCATGACTCACTTCTGTGCCCTATGTTATTTCATTGCTCCGTCTGTCTTTTTCCTGCGTCCCCAGGGCCACTTTATGGCTCCCTCATGAGGGCGTGGCAGTGTTTCTTCACTTCCACCGAGCGTTTGTCCGAACTCCACTCCTCCATCTCCCAGTCTCTCATCACTGAGGAAGGGCACCGGGTGAAGACCTGGCAGAAGGAGACCTTTCCAAAGAAAATCTTTTGTGGGTTCAGGGAGAGCCACGACAACAACACAAGTTTTTCACAAGCCCAGAAACCTTGGTCCAAAAAGCTGATAAAGGTCCAGAACACATACATCATTTACATTTATCTGTGACACAAAGGCTCTATTTTAACAGTCTAAAGCACATGATGTAAAGCGCATGGCACAAATGCATTGAGGGCATGTCCATATCCACTTTAGCTATTTTAATGGCAAAAGAAACTCTCAACCATGCACCAGGTGCATGATTCAAAAGGGTTGTACTCACTTAATTAATCAGGGGAATGTTTTGGGGCGTAACATCAAACACATCTCCCATTCTCACTAGCCGGGTCTCCATTTTTTAGTTGACAAAACACAATTGTGAATGGTCTGTGTTTCCACTGAGTTTTGTTACGTGAATGAGGCTGAGTTTTCTCCTCTCGCGATATCATTCCAATTAAATGTGACAATGGATTTCCAGCAGTCTGCCTCTCAGTTGGAACTGGCTCCCTGGGGCCTGATATTCCAGGCACCGCAACTTAAAAGTGAAAAAAGTGTTTCCATTTCACTTTTGCAAAATATTGCTTTGTCAAATAGTCTAGAAAACCACCTCATGTGAGCGTATACATTTTTTTTTGCAACATTTCAGAGATTTTTTGAAATTCACGTGCTTCCATTACTTGTCGCATTTTCAAATTGTGCATTAAGCAGGTTAATGGAAAAGCACCATCTGACTTATCCAAACATCTGAACATCTGCTTGTGCATAAGAGTGCAGGCAGAGTGAACAGTATGTGAACGTCGTGCACCCGCCTTTGTAGGCGCAAATTACTCTCTTGGTAATGCACCCTTAAAATAATCATGAAAACCTCCACCATTCACTTCAGACCAGGTTATTGTTGTTTAATCACGCAATCACTTTCCACTGCCTCAAAATAGCAATGCACCAACAATGCGCCTGACCACACCTCATTTTAAGACCAACAAGCCCAACAAGGAGCAAGTGTATTTGTTATCCACTGCTTTGCACCACTTTGCATTGCCCAAAATCTTCACTCACTGTCAGCTTCCTAGCTTTTTTCTGCAGCTTTCAACTGCATCTCCTGCTCTTTATTAGCAAATAGAATTTGCCAGACTGCTATTTCAAAGTAATTAGCTTTCTAGCTCAAAATTATGAGAAATAACGCTTTGCTTTCTTGCCAAGAGTTAAAAGAGAAAACTGATACTAGCACCAAGTCTGTACAGCAGTAAGTGAAGCTACAGACAGCAGGAGATTAGTTTACTGACAACAGGGAAACAGCTAGCCCAGCTCTGTGTAAACATCATGATAGGATTAGGCAACCAGCACCTCTTAAACTCAGTTAACATATTAATCTGTTCAAAATTCTAAGTGTGAAAATGATGCATTGTGGCTTTGCAAGGAATTATGTGCAAAACTATTTCCTAGAGTCAAGAAAGAGATTCCTTACAAAAGCTATGCTAACATGTTGGCTGTAGCATCATTTTTCATGAGAGTGGTAACAATGGTAACAATAGGTGTGTTTTCCAAAATGTCAATCCCTGAAGTTGTGCATATATTTTTCTCTATTTAATGTACATGTAACTTGAATAAATATAGTATGTGTTAGACACAAAACATACAAATGCTTCCTTTATGCTAAGCTAAGCCAAATGGCTGCTAGCTGAAGCTTCATATTTTACTGTACAGACATGAGAGTGGTTTCAATCTTCTCATCTAACTCTTGACAAGAAAGGCGGCATACTTCCCAAAATGTCAGACTTTTATACTATTATATATTATTAACATGTGTACATGTATATTCAACAGCTGGAGAAGGCTCGAGTTGCATACCACAAGTCGTGCCAGAGGGAGCAAACAGCCCTTGACAAAGAGAAACAAGCAAATGAAAACTCTGAGATGAGTCCAGAGAAAAAGCAGAAGATCACCGAGGCCAGAGAGAAGACCACAGAGGAGAAAGAAAAGGTGAGGAGAGATGTTTACACACTGCACCAGCTCCCTCCAAGACAGTCATGCATGTCGAATAAGGGATTAATTCACAACACAATTCAAATTCACAACTCCTGATTCACGACGTGACACACAGTTAAATATGTTGCATTCCGGGAAAGCTTTGCCAGCCTGCTGCAAGTATTCTCCTTGTATGGAGATTTGTTATTGCTACTCTGCTCCGTGTTTATGGAGCCCAGCATGGCAACAGTGGAGAGCACCCGATGATTTATATATTTTAGATCCCCCCCTCCATTAAAGAAACAGTAGATGTTCCTCCTGAGGGAGCGTATGGCATCCTCGCATCATAAAACTGTTCTTCCGAGCTGCCTGCAGACTAGAGATCGCTATGAGAAACTGCTGGAGGATGTGACGTCCTACACACCTCACTACATGGAGGAGATGGAGGCCATTTTTGAACAGTCGCAGGAGGAGGAGAGGAAAAGGATCAGCTTTCTGAAACAGGCTTTCCTCTCCATCCACAGACATCTGGACATCACCAACAATGAGAGGTGAGCAGCCATCAGAGGACTGAGGTGTTTGCACAGATTGTATGTGGATGGATTGGTTCATGACAGACATAGCTCTGTGTCCCTGTGTCAGTGTGAAGGCTGTGTACAGTGAACTCCATCAAACTCTGATGGCCATCAATGATCAGGATGATCTCAAATGGTGGAAGAACAACCACGGTCCTGGCATGCCCACCGACTGGCCAAAGGTTGAGGTATGTTACAGAGTTTTACTCCGAAACTGTGTGTGTGTGTGTGTGTGTGTGTGTGTAGACTTGCACGCTCTGCATTTATCACAGCTGTATTGGTAGTGTTGACAAAGTGATGGTTTAGTTAAAACCCAAACTTTTCTGTTTTTTCAGGAATGGGTTCCACCAGTAAAAAAGCTAAATCGAAAGAAAAGAGACCAGAAAAGAAAAGAGAGCCGACCGTAAGTATCCAACAAAGTGCTTTTCACATATGGTTATCGCTTTCTTTTAAAACCCAGAGATGACCACAGATTTATGTTTTTTCACCACTGAAATGTCTGTGTCTTCTCCTGTTAGTGTGATGATTGGGGGTGTGAAGGTGCGAGCTCTGTACGACTATGTGGGAGAGGAGGGTGACGAGCTGTCCTTTAAAGCAGGTGACACATGACGTGTGGTTTTCACAACACTCAAATACATTGTGTTAGACAGCCATTTTACTCTCAGTGTTAAAGCTGCATTTGGGATATTTTTTTTTATACAAAATTACAACCCTTGTATGAATATGACTATGAAGACAAAAATGCATCCAATCCCTCCAAAAAAAGGCAGGTAAATATACTGCAAGTGTGCCGTGTGGAGTTTACTGATTGTATGATTTCTGGGATGTGAGATGACATGAAGTGTCCTAGTGGAGCTATAAAGGATGAAACCAATTGTTGAGGGGATGCTTTATAAGTAAATAGATTTTTTACTTAAACAGTTGACATTTTTATCTTACAGTCTGTATATTAATCACATAGAGCAGAACTACTAACTTCAGCATGAGTCAGACACAGATGGCACAAACCTACAGCACTAAACATAAGCAATGTGGTTATGATATCATTTGCATCCTGCAAAGAAAAAAGCTATTATCCTGTTGCCTTAGGAGAGATATTTTTCAAACTGAAGTGCATTTATCTTTCATTGTGTTTGATAAAGAGTTAAAATCCAAAGAGAGTTGGGTTTACCTCTCACTGCCATTGTAAAACCCACATTTGGACAATTAGATGATGCTGAGGTGAGCTAAGCCCATAGCAACCACCACAGTCAATCAGGCAAAATAATTTCCAAAATACTCTCCAAGCTGCTCAGTATCTAGATCCGAACTCATGCTGTACAAAAATGACATAATTGAAAGACTGCACAAATTCAAAGGTTTTTTTTAGACCCACCATCTAGTGGCCTTAAGAGGAAGTACATCTTAAGGCACTCTTTCATTAATAATAACAGGCTTGGATCTGCACAGTTATACTATCTACTCGACTCACAGAGGTTATCTCTGTAAACTACTGATTATTGAAACATGATTGATTGTTTTAAATTTTATTCCTTTTGATCTCAGGTGAAATGTTCCTGAAGGTGGAAGAGGAGGATGACCAGGGCTGGTGTAGAGGAGTATTGAGCGGAGGGAAGGAGGGCTTCTACCCGGCCAATTATGTTGAAGTTGTCGAGTGACATCACGCTGTCCAATATTTTATGTTGTGAACTTATCTCTCATGAAGAGTTTGTTTTTAAATCTTCTAAAATTAACAATTATTATCATTTAACATCTAAGATGTTTCTGATTCTGAGTTAATGTCAGATATAATCTGTTCCCAGCTATTTTGAAATGTAAAGCTTTAAGGCCTTAATATTCTAACCTACTTGGTTTGAGTATGAATTAACTTATCACACTAGAATGTACTGTTTGTGGAAGAGTTATATGTGTATATGTGTGAGTGTGTATGTGTGTTTGCATGCATGTGTGCACGATCAGATGAAACAAAAGAAAACGAGAGAATATTTATTTACCGCCATCTTGTCTGAGTCATTAGGTTACTGTAATAAAAATAGCTGATAATGAAAGGTTTACCCAGCCACAGGTTTACCATGATGTGTGCCCACAAGGTTAATGTTTACTTGATGCGTATTATGCAGAAGCACACAGAAGTTACTTTGACTGAGGGGAATGGATTTTCACAATAAAACTATATTTGTTTTGCTTCTAATCCATCTTGTTGACACTATTGTTTCTACCATGCTAGTCGTGTGGGTCTATGGATGGCAGAAGTTGGTTGGTCACGCTGGTTCAGGCTGAAATATCGAAACAACTATGAGATGGATCGTCATGAAATCTGTTGCAGACATTTGTTGTCCCAAGACAATGACTCTGACTTTCACAGTCCTCCGACTTTTCCTCTAGTACCACCATGAGGTTGACATTTCTGGTTTTCCGTTCAATGTATCCATAACTATTGGATGCGTTGTTCTGAAATTTGGTACATTTGTACATTTATTGTAAAACTAATGACATTATGGTAAAGAGTGAAACAATATTTGCACACTGGAGTACAGCTCCCAATATTTAATTGACTACAACAAACACAACGTTTCAACCCCCACAGGGTGTTGGGGTTGGGGTGGAGGTGCACACAACTATTTCTGCAAAACTAATGACATTCCCATCAGCCCCAGCTGTACTTCCTGTTTTATGCTTTTAGCACATTTGCATACTAACAGACTACTAAACAGAAGATAAACATGGTAAATATTACACCTGCTTAACATCACAATGTATGTTTTGTCACCAAGTGCATGTTAGCATGCTGACATTAGCATTCACCTCAAAGCACAACTGCGCCTTACAAAGGTTTTATATTAAGACAAAGAACACAAAAGACCTAAAATTAAAAGCAAAAACATACATGTGTAGATATGCTTCATCATTTTAAAAGTATTTTTTACATAATTAACATCCATTTAATGCTTTTTATGTAGTATAGAGATACTGTATTGATATTGATAGATATATTTACATGAAACACACATCTGCCAAACTTAAATACTATATACACTTATATATATATATATAGATATTATCCTTTAAAATGTGTTGATTTGAGTTCTCCAATACACAGAAGTCTTGCAGTAATTAGGATTCCCTGAACAATTAATATTATATTACAGGCACCATTGTTCAAAGTGACTTACATTTTAACATATCTCAGTAGCAACATCAGTATATTAAATTCCTGGATCATTAAAGAATTTCACAGGATAGTTGATTGTTCTTTTATTTTGAAAGATAATTATCGATATTAATGATCCTGACCTTTGACATGTTTCTCATTCCAACTTTCACCCATTTTACACTCGTGAATGTTTAACTACAGTCGTACAACATGTGATAAATCTCTGACTAACCACCCAACCTCGCAGCTCTGTGCACATACCACTACACTACAGTACCATGGAAGAGAGAAACCTGTTGGACAAGATCTCTGAGGCACAAAAATTTAATGACAAGACGTCACACAGTAGTTGAAACATTTCTGAGACCTGAAGAGATTTCTTGTTTATGGTTGCACTGTACATTCAGCATTCAAAGGACTCTGCATGTGTAAGTACGCCTGATATATATGTTTATTTTTAAAGGACTTTATTGCAGAAAGATGATGGATGTGTGGTTAAATGATGTTTCTTTAATGAGACGGCTTTCTGAGGGCATGTCTACATGTTACAAACTGAGTCTCCTCATGCTCCCCAGAGAAAATTGTACTGTAATTACTTAAATTACTTTGGATTGTATTTTAATTACATATCTTATGTGTTAAAGATGTTACTGTCTACACTACTAATGCATTATTGGGTGTCATGTTTTGTTAGATAATGTCCCTTCTCTCTCAGACAGACAGAATCACTATGGAATTTGCCTGTGCGTTTGTTTATGTGCCACCAGCAGTGATTCAGAAGGACGGCCAACGCTCCAGTGCCAACGTCATAAAACGCTCAGGTGTGATTTCTTTCTCCTGACATCAAAAAGAAAAAGAAAAAATCCCGATTTCTGACACTAACACTTGTTTAAACAGACATGTTTCACATTTCTGGCTCTACTTTGCGGTTTAGTTGCAGTTTTACTCAATCCCACAGATCACTTGCCAGACACAGATTTTCTCTGCAACTTCCCTGGAGTCTGACACCAGAAAGTATTTCAGCAATCTAAAACATGAACAGTAAACATCAGATTCTTGGTGTCTTCTGAAACCTTCTGAAAGACCTTCTTTGTTGACTCACCAGTTTGAAGAAATCCATCAAACAGGCACAAAGCTTTCATTCCTCTACGTCTATCACCGACGTATGTCACCTGCAGTCGGCTCCATTCTCTGGAAGATGTCAAAAGGCAATCTGGGAAATGTAGGAAGTCATTAACTGAAGTGTGAATTGAAAGAAAGATTAAATTCCAATACTTAATCACAGGATAACCGATAATTTTTCTTTGAATATCAAAGATTGATGGTACGTGACAGTGTAAATGTAGCCACAGGTGGATTTCTCCTTGCGTCAGAGCTGTCTGGGTGACTGGTTGGTTAAGTACCATTATGTATTATGTAATCAGTGACACACACAACCTCTCGTGTCTATCTTAGAGGAGATATTCCTTTCAGATACTTTGCTTTGCTTGGTAAAAGCCATCTGCCGGCTGAGTCACATTTTCTTCACAGCACAAAGGTCATCACTGCACCAGTTGTTTTGTCTGGGATCAAGAAACAGCTCAGAATGAACTGCTGATGTGAGTATTTTCCTTTTCATTTTCATTCCTTTTAGCTCTCCTCCCCCCTGTCAACCGAATTCGTCCTAGCACTCCTCCACCTCCTCCTCCAACAAACTCTACAGTGGCCAAATCACCAAAACTCCCCAAATCGACCCCGAAGATCGTTGAACAGCTGGAAAAGAGCAAAGTGAAGAAGGTTGTGAAGCCCACTCCCTTCTATGAAAATGCCAAATTTCACAGTAAACTGGTGGCAGCATCTTCCATCAATACAACAGCTCAGCAGACAACATCTCCTCGAAGGACAGGTACTGTGAATGTGGCAAAATAAATGTGTAAATGTATGTCTGGACAAGTTTAGTTTCTCTCCTTTAGTATTATCTGAAATGCCGTGGTTGCAATTGATATCTTAAAGGAGTACTTCACCCTAAAAGTCAGTGCTGTCCCTTCAGTCACATTCCAGTGACAGCTACCAATCACACAAGAAAGTTACCTGCTGCTCTTCCAGTTATTGATGTTAATGCAGCCATTTAAAACAAAACAGGAAAGTTTGGCCCCCTGTATTTCAGAAAAGCCAGGCTCACACTCACAGAGTTTCATATTCACACCTGCACGGGGCATTGCTCAAGGAGAGCAGTGGTAATAAAGAAGGGGCAAACATTGCTCTTTTACTTTTCAAGCCCAGGCCAGTCCTGCTGGTCCGAACCTGTGACCCTTTTGTCACAGACACACTTCTCCCAACTTTTTTCAGATGCAAAAAATATCCTTCAAATTCCTTCCAATACTTGAAGCCAAATCCAGCTGTTTTGTAGGTGAAGGATTTTAGTAAAAAAAACAAGTATTAACCTTATTAACCGTAATAAAAAGGGCAATAAGGTGAATGTGTGAGGTAATTGTAACTTAACAGTTTTCTAAACCCCTGTCCTGTTGTTACATTAGCATTGTTACCTGGACCTTTGGTATGTGTCTGTGTGTGTGTTCATACCTAAGAGGTCTAATAGTTGTATGTATATGATGTTTATGTTTTAACCAGTAAAGCGTGCTTTCATCAGTGTGCACATTAAATACACTAAATGTTTAAGGTGAAGTTAAAAGTAAAAAATAAACTTACCGACTGATTGACTCTAAAACACTTTAGTGGCCTTTAGCTAAAAAAGAACAAAAAAAAGAGAAAGATCAATAACATACTAACGCCAAAAATACCTATAACATGTTTTTTTATAATGAGAGTAAATCATCACCTTTCACGCTCATGGTTTGGTACAGGCGGTAAATCACCACGTGTTTGTAGCTCCAATACACTTTAGTAGTTTAATTCCACTGAGCTGCAGCCAAGATGATGAATGACATTTTCTTTTATTTTGGGGTGACTCATTCCTTCAACAGTCCTCTCCTATCTGCTTTACCCAGCTCTTCTTCCACCGCACATGAGACCTGCAGCGAGCAGCCAGTCCTCTCTGCACAGCAAGCCACTCGACAACAGTCAGACATTTACCTATGACCTGCCAAATAATGAACCAGATTTAAATGCCCATCGCTGGGACCCAAACTACTCATACAGTACACCAGAGGGCACTGGGGGTGAAGTGAAGCTGCCAGCTATTACTAGCAATGTGCCGGGCCAGACGCCAGGTGAATAGACATCTTTGTTTTTCCTCTTTGTGTTAGAGTTTAACTTGTTACAACCCAGTACTTTCCAGATCAGATTTGTCTCAGAGACTTTAGGGAAGAGACAGATCATCCAAGTTTCTCCTGCTCTCATCTCAAACCCCTACAGCCCCAGCCCTCCCACCGAGGCCTGCGTTCATGAAGTCAATGCCAGAGTACCTGGTGCTGTTACCCTCACACCACTCATCTGCTTCATCCTCTCAGAAATCACCTTCAACTTCTTCACTTTCCCAGTCGTCTACTGCAAAAGGTAAATACAACAGTCAAGCTGTCAAAAAACCAACATTGCACAAAATGCTAAAGTTTGAATGCTCATGTTATTCCCATCTCAGGATCAGCGGATAAGGAGCCTCTTCCAGGGAATCCTAATGTGGTCCTTGTCAGTTTAGGGAAACTACTCTCAGAGGAAAGTGGTCAGTAAACTTCTATCATCACCATCAAACCTTCTTGATTTTCAGTCTCATTATCTTACGATGACGATGATGTTTGCATATTTCCAGGGGAATCCATACGAGGTGAACCCACCTCCTGCTCCCAGTGTGGCTCTGTGCAGGACTCCTGTTATGTCAATGTGGTAATTGCATCTTTTATTTGACCTTTATTCTGAAACTGATACGTAGTAACATGATTAAGAGCCATTGATTTCAGATTTGAATAACAAACCATAAATCTCCTTGTAATGACTACTGGAAAATACGGAGCATGACAAACTGTTAGATGCAGTCAAGCATAAGAAATATTGATCGCATCATAATGAAACAATGGATAACTGTGATTGGTTTGATTGATTCAGGCTGGTTTGGTCTCAGCCGGTCAATGTTTCTCAGTAACAGTAATGTTCTCTCCTTAAACTGGGCAGCTTCATGCGTGTCACTTCTGTCAATCCCGGGAGTTGACCAGTCCTCCCAGTATACCACCCAGTGCTCTCTTTTTGCTCAACCCTGATGAAAAGCCCCCGTGCGCTGCTGGCGCTCTGCTGCTCTTCTGCATCGACATCTCAGGCTCCATGAGCATCACCTCCCAGGTACAAACACACGACTGACACTGACACTGATCTGTTTACTCGTGGCTGACGTTTACAAATACAACTCTTGATGTTTTAACTGATCAATCTCTTATCATTTCAAGGTGTCGGCGGGAGAGCATTTTGTTCACAGATCTCGTCTCCAGGTGAGTTTTTTTTTTCATTTTCAAGTGGCCTTTTAAGTTTGTGAGACTGAAAATGAGCTTTAAGTCTTTCTTCTTCTTTTTTAAGTGCAAATTCTCCAAGTAACACACTATTAAGTTAACTGGAAAGTTACCACAAACCACTTTTGTACATGCATAATACAGATGACTATGATAAAAATAACAGCTGTCCTGAGATGCTGCCAAGATGCCATTGGTGATAAATAATTGTTGTATTCAAACCAGTTTGTCCAGGAAGCCGTGTTGCAGTGTGTTCAGAGACTAAGTGAACAGCAACCAGACACAAGAGTGGGTCTCATCACCTTCAACTATCAGGTACATTCATGATTTAATAGAGTACTGGACGACAACAGACTGTTCTCTGCCTTATTCTCCCAAGTTTTTTCATGAAATGTGCTGTTATCATGCTATTGTTTGAGTTTATCTCTGACTTATACTATATAATTCTTTTTACACTCAATGTTCTCACTGTTTCTCCATCGCTGTAAGTCACTGCATCTTTCTGCCTTTTATTTGATATCAGGATATTGGAATTTCTTCTTCATTGTCTTGTCATTCAGCATCATTATTATCTCAAAAAAATCACTGCATGAATAAAATGTTTTATTGCCATTGCTTTTCTTTATCCCCTGATGATTGTATTGCCAGGTTACAATGTATGGGTATGAGAATTTCACGTCACAGTTCCTGAGCGGTGCTGAGTTGACTGACAGCAACTATCTTAAAGAGGCTGCCGCCAGTTTCCCCAGTCCACCTCCACTCTCACAGACCAAGGACTTCTTACAGAGACAAGTTATGGGGTAAGAAGAAAAACAAAGATTGCATTAGTTGTTTTGTGTATTATAGCTTACCTGCTGTATGTTCAAATAACAAACATATTCTCTTGATTCTCTGAAGATTATCTGAAAGTGGGACCACAGCTCTGGGTCCAGCTGCTCTCCTGGCAGTTGCGATGGCCTCCAGACAGCCAGGGTCCAAAGTAGGTTTGGCTTTTCAGTCTTATTTGTGGTACCATACCAGTGTATTTGTATGCTTTGGTCCATATATACAGTAGTTGACATATACATGACATGCAATCTGTATTACATTGTCACTTCACAGTATTTAGCTGTACTAATTCAGCAAAGCTTGTGCACACCTTTACGTCTTTATGATGTGTACAGCTGTAAATGTTGTTGACTGAAAAGGAACCAGGAATACCACACAGTCATGGCCACTTGGACTCATTTTATTTGTATATGAAGCTTCGTTCCTTCATCAACACTTCATATCTTTTTTTCCTGTACTTTGAACTAGATGAGCTGTGATGTAAAGCTTGTATGAATTGCAATGAGGGGTCAGTGTCAGTTTTCCATTTTTCTATTTTTCTAAAAACAAAACAATCCTGATCTGCTATCCCTGCTGATCTTGAAGGTGATTATCTGTACAGATGGGAAGGCCAACACAGAGTTAGGGAACCTGGAGGTGGAGGATAATGATGCTCGCACCCTCCTCTCATCCACCATCTTCTACCAGGAGCTGGGGGAGTATGCTGCTAATCAGGGGTTGGTACACATCTCCACGTCAATGTCAAGAATGTGTTTAAACATATTTTACTGCTAAACAGACAATGAGTGAACATACAGGTGCAGCCACTTTCATATCTGAAGTACTGTTGCTCCACTGGCAACAGTAATACTGGTGCTGATAATACTAATAAGGGCCAAGTGAAAGATGGAGGATGCCTGCAGTTGCTCAGCTAGATTTATTATGATGAAGATCGTGCTGAAATATCCTTCCTCCATTAGTGTGACGGTGTCTGTGCTGTCCATAGAGGGAACAGACTGCCGGCTGGATGAGCTGGGAAGACTCGCCGATCGCACTGGAGGGAAAGTAAGAGACAGTGTGAAGCTGTGTTGCATATGATTTGTTGCAACAGTCATCTATCACTCAGTCAAATCAGATCTTGCATTTCTCACATCATCTTTGCGTTTTATCTCTTGTCCTCTAGGTGGTAATAGCAAGTCCAAACAGGCTGCATCCAGAGTTTGAACAGATCATTGAGAACAGGACCATCGCCACACACTGTACCGTTACATTACTGCTGCCCAAATCACTGTAAGAGCTGCCCTGTAAATGAATGTATATACCCTAATACTTGTATTTCTGATTGCATCATTAATTGGGCTAGATTGATGGCACATGAAAGGATTTGAAACACTTTAAATTACATTAGTTTGACTGATGCCTTTGCTGCAGGCACATGAGAGGAGAGAGGGAGGCTGGATACAAAGGGACCCGAGAGGTGGGGAACGTGGACCCAGATACAGAGATCACCTTTCAGTTCGGAGCCAATGAACAGGACGCAGATGGTAAGAAAAAAAAACTGCTGTGACAGCGCTGACAGACTGTCAATAATGTTGTTGTTTCTTTTACCTTGCAAACTCCAGTTGCAGCTTTACTGCTTTACACAGGATTATCACAGGTCGTGGTCTGACGTGTGCTGCCAGTTCACACAGGATGGTGATTGGTGTTGTTGCCAGTCAAATAAAAAATCTCAATTTGAGATCATTGCAAGAGAGACAACAACACTGTGAAGTGAGAGGGATCCAGAGTCAATACATCTGACAAAAACTAACAAAACTGGATTGATGAAAATGCAAGAATGGGCCATAATTTGCTAGATAACAATAAATCCATCTGGATGCGCTACTACCTGTGATTTTTCTAAAAAAAAATCTAATAATTACCCCTAGTCTGTCAGTAAGGAATAGCTTTCATTAAAGTAAGAACAAATTAACAGCTCCAGAGCTGTCAGTCTGTTTCTCATTCACTCCACAACTTTTGCCAAAATTGTTCAACAACAACTGGATGGAATAAGATGAAATTTTAGACAGAGACTCGTGGTCCCTAGAAGATTAATCCTAATAACTTTGAGGATTCCTTGATTTCTTTCCCTACTATTCCCTACAACTATTGGATAGATTGTCATTACATTTGCTATGGGTGCCTAGAGGGTAATTTCTGTAACTTTGGTGATCAGCTGTAAATTCTAATTAATTAATTCTGCAGCAATTCAATCTGATCACTGAACACTTGCCTGTGCCTGGTCATATAGGTGTTTCATCTGAGCCAGTCTGACCACTGACTCCTCATACATGCCAGAGCACTGTTAGTTTTCTCTGACCACTACAACCCTTAGAGTTTTTGTTGTTCATCAAAATCAAAAAACCAAACCAGAAACGGATGCCATGTTTAGCATGGTCAAAAAGCAGCATGTGCTCTCTCTGTGATCCAAAAACACTCAAGAGGATTGTTGTTTAAAAATAACCTTTAACTCTCTTGAATCATATTTGTGGTGTGTCTGTGCTTCTCTCTCAGTGCCAGCACCAGCCTCCGGCAGCCGTGTGTCCGTCCAGCTGCAGATCAGGTACCGGCGGAGGAACGGACAGACGATGCTCAGAGTGATAACTTCAGAGCGAAATGTTACTGATGACAGGTGATCATGATGTTTCCATAATCTGTGCTTCACTCACTTGCGTTTTGAGATTGTGTCTCTCACACACACACACACACACACACACACACACACACACACACACACACACACACACACACACACACACACACACACACACACACACCCACTCACCCATTGCACTGACTATCTGTATGCTTGTGGCTTCCTTGTAAGCTCAAACAAGTCATTATCATGTGATATCTCTCATCAAGGAGGCGTTCTCTCCCTCAGGACAACAGTTGATTACATGTATTATTTTCTGGCAATCTCAGTGAACCTTTAGGCAAAGCAGTTTTGAAAATCCAAGGAGACTGTTGCTGAGATACTGGAGTGTTCACATCATCCAGAAATGGTCGCACCATGTAAATCTAATTTTTCATCCATTCTAATGTTTAGTCACAATAAACCTCTCAACCCAGTCTGCCTGCTTCATATACAAAATGAAGGTCATGCAGTTCATTGTCTGAGCAGCTACAAAGTAGCACCTGTGTGTATTTGCATGGTAATATAATGGCAAGGCTGAAGGCGTAAATGCTGAGAAGCACTCTTGTGATAAAAGTGTGACCCTCCTTCTCAGCTCGGCGGCCCTGTCTTCTCTGTCTCTGGCCATCATTCAGCTCAACTCATCACAGGCCAGCGCCGCTCTGGCTGTCAGAGGCCGCTTCCTCGACGCCAGGAGGGAGGGAGAGCTGCAGAGGAAGCTGATCGAGAGAGCAATGTGAGTTACAGAAGGGATGGAGGAAACTCTGACTGCGTCAGTGTGTGGGCAACATGTAGAACGAGAGCTAAATTATGCTGAAGTCCAACAACTGGATTAAAATGAGGGCTGATTATATATTCATTCAGCACATAGAAAAATGACAAATGACAAAAAAAAAATTGAAAATATATGGAAATCGCTGCACCGACAGAGCAATCAGATGCACAGATAAAAAGTGGGTTTAAATGAAATGGAAATCAGATCAACTGGTTGCATTCTTCAGTATAAATATTCAAATACATCTGATTAATCAGATGAACTGATGATTTTATTGATGTTCCTAAGACGATTATTATTTTCTCTCAGATGATATTTTTTGTTGAAGGTTTATAATTAACAATCCCAAGCCTTTTTTTCCCCCAGATATTCTTTTTATTTAAATGGTAGTTTTGATTTTAAGCTTGTTTTCCAGAAACTATTTTACTTTCTTTTTATATTTTTTACAGTCTACCTGCCTTTGAAAGCTGCTATTTATTAGCTGTACAGTGTTTTTTAGAATGGGCAGATGATGTGCTGTCTCTGTTTGCAGTGAACACAATCACAGTGCACAGGACAAACAGACGTACCAAGAATGGGTGAAAACTATGGAGCCAATTTACAACAACATTCATAATTTCACACGGGTGAGTTACTTTATGTTTATTAGATTCAGTACCTCACATTAGTTCGAATCATCACACTTAAACACTTTTATTTGTGTGTTTTCCAGAGAAAATCTGTCATTTCAGACTCACAGGTAAAGTCATGTCTTGCTCTTATACTGTCCTCATACTGCTCAGTACTGGAAAACTACATTACCCTTTGATAATTCTTCCGTTCTTCTCCCACCAGTCTCTAACAGACGCTGGTGCAGTGCTGCTCTACGCCATGAAGCACAGCAACAGGAAGTCCATTTCACTAAAGAATAAACATAAACTCTAGCCAACTGTCAGCCTCCACTTTTTACCTGGTTGGAAGCAACTCAAGTCATGAATGACAAGGATAAATACTGCAGTTTGACTTTGATTATCTGGCCGAAGAAATATCCTTCAAATATTTCACAGTGTTAATAATGTATTACTGTATATCAGCTGAAAACATGGTCATCCTTGTCATAAAGAAACTTATTTCTCTGTGAGACTTTAAGTGATTCCTTTCAGTGTTGCATATAATAACTGCTGAGGCAGTATACTGTGTACATTTATATATATATACATATATATATTTGACACCTTCCCTGTGGCAGTGTGTGTGTTTTTGCACAGACAAAAACACATAGAAAAAACATGACTCAGAAACACATCACACAGCTCACACCCAGGCCTTTGGTGTCCGCAAAATACATCTTTTAACACATGTAAAGCTCCCACACAACAGTCAATATAGTCCTATTGATTGTGATTATGTAATTATGTTTTAATAGATGTTAGAAGTGAATAGTTTGTTTGCACCAAACTTGACGTGCAAAAGTAAAAATTATCACACAAGAGCAAGCAGCCAAGCATTATGGCTCATGCTTTTAATACATGCACTGACAGTCATTATGAGTTCATATGTACTGAATCTAAATCAGAATATTTTGTCAATATTTAGATAGCGAACAATGGTGTACATACAAAATAGGTTGGAACAAACAATAATCATACCTAAAATGGAAGCCAAAGCATAAATAGACATGTGCTTCTCTGGGGTGGCCCTCACAACACAAACGCGTAACTCAGAGCAGATGTCTGTCCAACATTTGTATGGACTATTATTCAGGTTCCAAGAAAACGGAACATAAACAAACCAAGATTCAACCAGAATACGCAGAGTGATGAGCAGGTAGAAGCCAACAGTGCCTCTGTCTCCGTGGAGATCTATGCGCAGGACGGAGAGGATAACCAGGACAAAGATCCAAGTTCCAGGCCACCATCATAGCTTTGTGTAAATATCTTATTAAAACAGGCTCTGGTGCAGATGTTGTCCCCTTGTGCCGTTGCAGGTGAAGTCAGGTTCCAGTTTTAGTGACGGGCAGCTCAGCCAGGAAGAGGATCACCATGCAGATCCACAGGGAGGCCAAACCACAGGGAGCAGCACTTGCGAGTGGTGGTGGCGTCTACTGCCGTCCGCAGGATGGGAATGAGGCCTGTTACTACCACTGCCTTCGTCACTCCTGGCTTTTTTTGGGAATCTAAGAGTGGGGAGGTTGGAACAAAGGAAAACACACCACACTTCTGATTCTGTCTTCTCAGGCTTCTTGTCACATTTCAGAAGTCTATAGATTTCCTCAAAACTTTTCTGATTGTTTCATCTAAATAACTGTTTTAGGTCCAAAGTAAAGATTAAAAAAAAGTAAATAAAAAATTAATTCAGATTTGTGTAGCAGAACTTAGTTTCTTCTTTCCTACTCCGTTTAATGAACTCATGACCCCTAAAATCCGGTGGATTAAATTAACTGTGTAAAGTAGTTAAGGACGGGAGTACTTCTTCCATCACGCTACATATTTATGACGGATCATTTCACTTTCAATCATGCTGATATATCATCAGAGCTTTTTTCTGAGTGACAGGAATTTCATCTCAAATTTCAATTTTAGAGTTTATTTCAACTGTGAGTTGAGTCAAAAGTCATGTTTCATTTGGTCTCCCCTGTAGAATAACTGATTAAATTTAAATGGGACTGTACCTACAGTTACAGTGCAAACACACCCCCAAAAAAAAGCTTGTGTAGGGAATGAAGTGATTCCTGATGTAACGTACTTCCAGGTAAAGGGATGCATCAATGGGAATAAAGTGTGACAGGTAGAGGAGCTCACCTGTAGGAGTTGCAGCCCACTAATGGGCTACCATGCTCGCTTCCCATTCAGTAATTTATGGGTGCAGGAAATGTCAGTCATCAGTATACGTGCGACAGTTTAACAGCAGACGATGTGCCGACTTAATCTCACTTTACTCTTCGTAGACATCTCCCGCTTCAACATTTAAGCTGCTCATGCAAAAGAAACAATGCACAGACACTCAAATATGAAGAAACGTTGGGTTTTGCGGACATAGAAACACAAAACATTACTACTTGTTGCACATTACACGTTTTTTTTTATTTGTATAAAAATTTAATTCCACTGACTAAATATTTTGGAATTCCACTGTTTGTTTTTTTTACTTGACAATTTTTATATTTGATGACAGTAATTACAAATATTTATACAATAAAACAGTTACAAATGATGTTAACATGTAAAGTCACTGAATGCAAAGAATTTAAGACAAGCTATAATTAAAAATGTAGTGTAAAAACATGTTACAGCATTATTAAGAGAGATTCTTACAGTGATCATGTTTGCAACACCACTTTTTATGAGGAGATTACAACAGATAAGATGATTCCTTAATAGGCTACATATAGTATAGCATACATTTTAAAACATGAACATCATACATAACATCTTACAAATAACATGGCAATACAAAACAGTGACGAAGCCGTAACAATTCATATGTAGGAGACTCTAATTTGAAGTTTTTGAAGGAAGTCATTTTGAAAAATAACACTTTTTTTTTTTCAAAATAAGCCCCATCATCGAAAAAGATTTAAGGCCACCGGCTAAATATTTGTAGGATCAAAGTTCCAAATGAGTAAAAACAAAAACAAAAAAAAAGCTTAAAGACCTTCTTCTTTGACTAAGTACTCTGGCAGAGTCTGGAAAGCAGTCACAGGTACAGCGACTGGAACCGTCAGGGATATGGCGCTGGGTTCAACGGTGGAGGGGGAAACCTCACTGGGGGGTGGAGGAGAGGGCAGTGGGTCCGTGTGAATAATGTTTATGTCACTTAGTTGTGGGGCGGCCGGAGCAGCGTCCGCGTGAGTCCGTAAGTGCTTGCGAAGGTAGGCGGCAAATAGAAACGCTTTGCCACAGTGGGAGCAGCTGTGAGGTTTGTTGGTGGAGTGGATCTTCTGGTGTTTACGTAGTCCAGACTTGTTGAGGAAGCCTTTGCCGCAGCTGTTGCAGACATGAGGCCTCGGCTTGGGATGCTGCTTCTCATGCTCCTGTAAGTCTGCCAGCTGTGCAAACTCTGCCTGGCAGGTTTCACAGACATGTGAGCCCAGTGGCACAATCTTAGTAACAGTTGGAGGAGTAGAGTCGATGGAGTGAAGATTTTCGTGGGACTGAACTTCATCCCAGGTTCCAAATGTAGCATCACAGTGCGTACAGGAGAACTGAGGGAGAGTTGTGTGGGCAGTAAAGCCTGAAGCTGACCCTGCCTCTGCCTCCTGTTGTTGTGGCTGCTGCTGCTGCTGCTGCTGCTGCTGCTGCTGTTGCTCAGAATGCTCAGCTAGATGAGTTCTCTCATGTTTGCGCAGGCTTGAAGATACAACAAATGACTTCAGACACTCTTCACATTTGAAAGGCCGCTCTCCAGAGTGCACACGCCGGTGCTTGTTGAGGCTGGAGCGCTCAGCGAATGACTTGTCACACTCAGTGCAAGAAAAGGGCCTAAGTCCTGTGTGGACAAGCATGTGGCGCCGCAGATCCCAGGATGCTACAAAGGCCTTGTCACAGCTCTGGCATTTGTAAGGGCGCTCTCCAGAGTGAACACGTTCATGCACGGCCAGATCAGCCGGCTGCCTGAACCTCTTGGAACACTTATCACAGGGGTAGGGCTTGAAACCCAAGTGGGCTCTCTGGTGGCGACGGAAACTGGATGGGTCAGAAAACATCTTGCCACACTGTGGACAGAGGAACGGCTTCTCACCAGAGTGAGTGCGGAGATGAGACTGGTAGGAGGACAGCTGGGTGAAGCCTTTGCCACACTGCTCACACTGATAGGGTTTATTCTGGGAGTGAATGCGCTGATGGCAGGCCAGAGAGGAGGAGCGGGAGAAGGCTTTGCCACAGTCTGAGCACAGGTACGGCTTTTCCCCAGTGTGGGAGCGCTCATGGTTCTTCAGGTCCTTGAGCTCTGTGTACGTTTTCCCGCACTCATCACAGGCATACGGCCGATGGCCCTGGTGGTTCCTTCTATGTTTTCGGAACACAGAGGGATCAGCAAAACTCTTCCCGCACTCAGCACAGAAGTATGGCTTTTCTCCTGTGTGAGAGCGCATGTGCACCTTCAGTTTAGACAAAGTGGGATAGCTCTTAGAGCACTGACGGCAAGAGTAAGGACGCTCTCCACTGTGCTGCGTCATATGGATCCTCAGGCATATAGCCTGCATGAAGGCCTTACCACACTCCGTGCATATGAAAGGTTTCTCCCCAGTGTGAGAGCGGCTATGGTTGCGTAGCTCTGTGGGCGTCTTGTAAGCCTTGTGACAGTCAGGACACTGAAAGGGGCGCTGGGCTGAGTGAGTGCGCTCATGCTTTGAGAGCTGAGCCTTGCTCGAGAATGTTTTGGTACACTGTGAACATGAGTGTTGCTGCTGACGGTCCTTTACATGTGCCGACAGCTTGTGGCTGCGCAGCGCTGACAGACTCCTGAAAGCCTCTGTGCATGTAGAGCATTTGAAAGAAGGTTTGGCTTTTGGAGGCCTGCCTCTGCCACGTTTCTTTGCAGGCTGATCCTTCAGCATCTCTTCCTCTTGCTGGCCCTCTTCATCCTGTGCAGGAGGGGTGTATTGCTCTGCAAGAGGTGGGCTGCCAGGCTGAGGAGAGGCCATCTTTATATCTGCAAAGATATGATATAAAAAGATTTTGTACTTATTATTTAAATAAACATAATTAGCTGAGTAAGAGTGTAATACTGCAAAATTGTTCAGACATCAGACTCATATCTTCTAATATATGAATTATCTGAGCAGCTTGTCAGTGACAGTGGCTGATGGTGGACAAGAGAAAAAAAAAATCTGTATAATCACATAATAACAGAAATATGTGGGTGTGCGTTCAATCACAAAATGGCTGGCATTAGGACCTCAGGGACAATAAGCTAACCGCTTTGATGCCAGAGGAAGTTGGCGATGCAATGACAGAGATCAGTGTGTATGAATGACTGACATCAGGCCGACCGGAGACGAGGCTCAAATATCACAAGTCAGTGTGATGGTGATAACAACCGGACACGATATGTACGTATTCCGCTTTAGCTAGCTTGCCTGCTAAACATTTTTACTAACTCAAAATGGCTGGCTTTAGGACCGGCTGCACCAAATCACTCGACAGTGTCATCATCACCATGACCGTCATTACACGGGGTGGATTGCGCTAACATTAGCTGTCTTTATATCGTATGTGAGAAACAACGATCTTTCTTACCTGAATCAGGACATTAAACATTGGCCGATAATGCCTGGGACAATGTCTGGTACGCCACTGCATTTACTCAGACACACAGTGATTGCTGTTGACTGGCTGCAGGATGGGGGACGGCTCTAGGACCATGATGACGAAAGCTCTCGGCAAGCCAAGTGTGCAACATTTTAATACGTTTAATGGTAAAAAAAAAACAAAAAAACACCAGGACAAGATCCGTAATATATGAATTACAACCCCCGGGTAAAAAGATGGTAGTCCTGATAAAGTTAGCAAGTAATCTTTAATTATGGAAACACGCCTGCATAGTCAAGCGAAGATAATAAAAGGCTCATAAGTCAATGGCAGTGCTAGCTACGAGTGCTAACCTGAAGCTAATGCTAATGTGCTTTAGGTATTTTGCGAAAACCAGAGGCAGAATAGTGAGATGGACCAATGGTTTTTATTTGCGTTTAACGTATGCTTTGTAATTGCTTTTTGCGCGGAGCTCGCTGCGGTTTGTACTAACTCGAGTTTTAGCCCACCTACTTGCCTTTTAGAGGGAAGTATTTCCCTGCTGCACATTTCCTGTTTCCTAGCAACAAGAGCAATGTGGAAACGGGGATGGAAGGGAAAAAAAGACAATTGGGGAAAAAAGGGGGGTGCCCTTTACATAAAATTACGTTTCTATAATAATGAATGAAAATATATCTTCGGAGGCATGCATTGAATCAGTTCTGTTGCAGGTATTTAATTTGACGCATTTGCTAATGTAGTAATTCCGCTTTTAAAACGACTTCTTAGCTTTTTGGTGCAATGTTTGTTTAGCTAGCCATGATGATGCTAGCTGGTGGCGCGCTAACGTTAGCCCACTGCTCTGTGATACAAATTTAACCGTAATGAACTTGTCCACCCTTCCTTATAACCTTTTGAGGACGAGTATGTTCACTCTATTTTTGTTTATAATGTCGGAGAACGTGGATATTTGCAGTGGCAATAAATCTGTCAAGAGAGGCGTTGGTCTCCGGTTTATTGACATAGCTAACGTTAGTTCAGTTAGCCTGCTGGTGCAGAGATATAGCAAAACATGTTAGGTTGGGCAGAGTCTCCAGCTTACTTCATTCAACTTGATAAATCAGTGTTTTATCATCGTTACCTGCTGGTTAAGCAAACCTACCATGGGTGATTTTTCCATTTATTGATTTGGACAGATTTACTGTAAATCAGGATCAGCGCAGATCATGCTCACAGAAGCTGCTGAACTGACACGCGTATTTTACAATTTAAGTTGTCCGTTTGTATGGTAGTATGATTATTTGAAGCTTAAAACTATTATATTTAGGCTAAATGTGTGTTAGATCACCTCTAGCTATTTGTAATCTATGCCTAACTCGTTGCATAAAACTGAATACTGTAATCTTCTTTGTTCATGTATTTACCACAGCTTTAATTGACATGTCTTCTGTCTTCAACAGCTCAATTTTCCTGCTTCACCTAAACTCAAGTCAATTTCCTGATTGTATGGAAGTGGTTCTCAACGTCCTCTGTCGTGTTTCCTCCCTGGACTCACCGTGGACCTTACTGTAAAGACAGAATTCTTCTTTTTATACAGACAAGAAAGGCATCTAATGCATTTCCCGCCTGCATATTCAGACACTCTGTGTGTGGTGCACTTAATTCAGTCGTTATCTTGTAATGGCAGTGCAAGACCCTGGCAGGACAACGGGTTTTCCTTGCAAACAGTGTGGCATGGTATGTCCCAATATGCCAAGTCTGCTCGAGCACATGGATGCTCACCTTCAACAAGAGGAGGAACGCAAATTTAAATGTGATGAATGTGGACGTGGTTATAGGCATGCAGGTAGCCTAGCCAACCACAAAAAGACTCATGAAGTAGGTTCTTTTCAGTGTAACATATGTGGTAAAGAAAATTCAAACGCTTTGTCCCTGAAGAGTCATCTCCGTAGCCACACTTCACAGAAAAAGTACTCCTGTGCAGAATGTGGGAAAGCTTTTCGTCTGGCAACACAGCTGGCTACGCATGAGAGGGTTCACCTTGCTAGGCGAGCAAAGGAGCAGTCATACAGGAAGGTAGACATGGAGTATCCCACACATGAAATTGAAAATGATCACCCACATCATCTCAGTGAGCATTCAGCCAGTGTCGGGACTTCTACAGCAAATAGCCCAGCTGAGGACAAGACAGAGGTTGTTTATAATGCACAAACTGAAACCTCTGATGATGCAGCAAATCGACCTTTCAGATGTGATTTGTGTGACAAATCGTACATACACCATCGAAGCCTGACCAACCATAAAAAGACTCATCAGGTGGGAATGTTTGAGTGCACAGTCTGTTTCAAACTGTTCAATAACATGGCTGCCCTCTACAGCCACCAGAGAACTCACAAGGCAAGAAGTGGGACAGACCCTGGTTCAATGGGTGGGTCATACACAGGCACACCACTAGGCCAGTTTTCACCTCAGAGCCAGGATGCTCCAGTAAATTTCTGCCATTTGTGTCAGGTACTATTCCCCAGCGATGAGGAGTTCCAAGAGCACATCCAAATGCATAACTCTTCATCTGTGTCATTTGGGCTTCAAGATAACTTGTTAGAGAACCACAATATATCATATGACAACAGTATTGCTTCACCAGAGTCAAATTTTTATGCATCTCCTATAAATAATGTACCTTCAGTATCATCATTAGATAATCATGGAGGTTTTGATCAGCCACAGGAGCAGATTATTAGTAATGGTCATGTGTACTCAGATTGCTCCAATAATCAAACTCCATCTTCCAGTAGCACTCAGGGAGAACCCCCAATCATCGACACAAGCATTCTCGATCCTGTCCTCACACACACACAAAACGCTGACAATGCAACAGAAATGGAAGAGACTTCAACTGTAGACTCTGATGAGCGTCCCTTCAAGTGTCAAATCTGCGGTAAAAGCTACCGGCACTCTGGGAGCCTCATCAACCACAAAAGGTCACATCAGGTTGGGATTTACCAGTGTTCTGTATGCAGAAAGAGCTATCCTCACCTGGCTGCCCTCAAAAGTCATCTTCGTCTCCACAAAGCTCAGTCGTCATCTTTTAGCCTCAATGCTGAGGGAGACTGGCTCTCCTCAGAGCCCCTGACTCTGGATAACCAGCAGGGCTGCTTCTCCTCACAAGAGGAGGAGGACAGCACTCAGCCTGTGCTTGGTATCGATCAGAAGAATGGAGTTGACCACAGCAATGGAGCATTGTACCATGAGCCGTTTAATCAGGACTTTTCCCACGATATGACAGTGCATCTACCTCACAATGAACACCTGATGCAGAGGCATATGTGTGCAGACTGTGGTGAGACATTTTCTGATATTGAAGGGATTAAGTCCCACAGTTGTCCACTGCTACAGCAGCAACATGACACTACTAGCAGTGAGTATGAGAGTAATATAAACTTCCAGGACAGTAATGGTCACTATTCCATTGGAAATCCAGCGAGTAATGTAGAGTTCCATGGTCTGAATGGTAGCCATGACCAAAGTTACTTTGAACAGAATTTCCATGAAAATGTGAGCAGTCATCAGCTGAATGGTGGCGGAGAAGTTGATAACGCTGAAGAGGAGGATGATGATGGAGATCTTTATCAGTGCTCTATATGTGGAAACAGCTACACCAGCATGAGGGCGCTCAGGAGCCATCTCCGAGGGCACACACAGTCCCATGGTACTCCTGCAAGCTCAGGGCCTTCATCCATGTCCTCCCATGAAGAAGTGAAAGATGATGAGCTGGGAGAGATGATGATCTGTAGTACATGTGGCGAAAGTTTTGCCAATAGGCAGGACTTGATTACCCATCAGCTTCTGCACAACACAGACCAAGTAGATGGTGTTAATCATTTACATATGGACAACAGTGGTGTGTCTGGAGGCAAAGAGGAAGCACAGAGTATCATCTGTGGCAGCTGTGGCATTTTCTGCACCAGCTATCATCATCTTGAAAACCATGGCTGCACAGCTGAGAGGAAAGATGAGTCAACGCATAGTAAAGAGGAAGTGAAAGTAAATGATGTTGCCCAGCATGAAGACACAAGTCGCATTAAAGAGATGGGTGATACTAAAGCCCGTCAGTACAAGTGTGATCAGTGTGGGCGGTCCTACAGACATGCTGGCTCCCTCCTTAATCACAAAAAGTCCCACAAAACAGGTGTATTCAGATGTCTCGTCTGCCAGAAACGCTTCTATAACCTGTTGGCCTTAAAAAACCATCAGAGATCACACTTCGATATTAAGAGGTTAGTTCCAACAATAATGCACATCATTGGTACATGTACAGTTCTTACATTTGTCCCTCATGTTGCAAATTTAATTAATGTTAAAAAAGAGAAAAGAAGCTAATAGTTGCCTATAAAGTCTCTGTTTTTTGTGTCATAGATGTGTTTTCTCATCCTGGCCTTTTCATTGTGTAGACTTTTTCCAGTTTTGCAAACACAGAATTAACTAATTATGCCTCCTCTCCTCCCCCAGGCATACTTGCCATGAGTGTGGGAAAGCCTTCAAAATTCAGAAGCAGCTATTGAACCACCTGAGAAGGCACAAAGAAAACCAAGCCAAAATCCAGGAACTCAACAACCAGATCCAGGCCCTCATGCAGATGAATGGGACCCGGTCAGATGGAGGAATGCAGTCCTTGACTTCAAATTCCAATCAGGCTTTTACCTCTGCTCGACACTGCAAGCAACTGCTTGAAGAAAAATCGTCTCAAACAAAGTGCGAGACTTCAGTCAAATCAGAGGACACAGATGACCAGCGACCTTTTGCCTGTGACCAGTGTGGGCGTACGTACCGCCATGCAGGAAGTCTGGTCAACCACAGAAACTCCCATAAAACAGGTGAATATTATTGTTCTGTTTGTAACAACACTTACTCCAATCAACTAGCAATGAAAAACCACTTGCGCACCCACTTTGCATATAAAAAGCACTCTTGCCAAAACTGTGGAAAAGGCTTTAGAGGAAAGAAGCAGCTATTAGCTCACGTCTGTGCAAACCTCAGAAACGATGGGGCTGGAGGCAGGAGGGGCCTAAAATCTAGAGCCTTGAAGTGTAAGGAATGCAAGCAGGCCTTTTCCTCTGCTGACAAACTGGCAGCCCACACCTGTGATAAACCTTCAGGCAGCAGTGATGCACAAACAGATATGTCTCCAAACAAAGAGGAACGCCCTTTCACATGCAACATATGTAATCGCAGCTACCGCCATGCAGGCTCACTCCTGAACCACAAAAATACCCACAAGACAGGGCACTTCAGTTGCACCTTCTGCTCTAAGCCCTTCACTAACCCCATGGCTCTACGCAATCACACACGCATCCATACACAGAAGAAAAAGTATGTGTGTCTCACATGCGGAAAGGCCTTCCGCCTTGCCAGTATCCTGCACAACCACCAGAGGGTCCACAACCGGGTGGCAAGTCACTTCAGCTGTCCTGCGTGTGGAAAGAGCTTCCAGGGCAGGTCTGGTCTGAAGAGGCACCGGTGCCGCAGAGGTCAGGAGAACTCAACAAGAGCTGGAGTCCAGCAGTCAGAGAGGGGCGATAAGTGCTTCATGTGAGTTACTCTCTTATTGAGAATTGAGCATGTAAGTCTTGTTCTGTCTATTAGTCATCATTGGTGTACTTTTCATGTATTTTCTATTTTTTAAACAAAATTATCCTGACCTTAAAGTGGCCCACATATCAGCCAATATTTTTTTGTTATTGCAGATGTATCTGTATGAGTGTATATATATTGGACTGATACGTTTCCAGAAATTGCAGTACAGAAATGCCAACAAAGTACCAGAAAACACTGACAAGTTTATTTTTCAACTGCAAAATGTCCCACTCAATACATATCTTGGTTACAATACTTAAAAAGAACATTTAAAATATCAGTAATATTAATGTTATGTGTTGGTGTGGACTTTTAAAGTATCAGCATTGCCCTCAAAAGCCCAGTATTGGTTAGGCTATTATTTTAATAGTACAGTAACATTTAATGATAGGAACAGTAGAGGAATATGTTCAGAGACAAGCAGTTTTATAAATAATTTACTGTCGGTTGAAATGATCTGGGTTGCAGTGTCTTATTAGGGACTGAACATGAACATATCCCTGCTGCAGGTGTGACCTGTGTGGGCGCTCCTACCGCCACGCTGGCTCCCTCCTCAACCATAAAAAGACACACTCCGAAAACCTCCACCACTGTACCTTGTGTCTCCAGACATTTCCCGATCCTCTCACCCTACAGATACACTCCCAGATGAGGCGTCACTGCTGCCCCGAGTGCGGCAAGACCTTCTGCCTGGTCGCACACCTGCAGAGCCACATGGAGGTGCACTCAAAGGACCAGGCTGTGATCTGCAGCTTCTGCCAGCAGAGCTTTCCCACCACAGACAGTTACCAGCAGCACCACGACATGCACCACAGTGGTCAGGGCCCCTATCAGCACGCTGTGGATGAACCCATAGATAACAACCACTGCTGGGACTCAGGAATAAATCAGACCATGGGGATGGATGAGATGCACAAGCAGGTTCCACCACCTCTGTCCCATATTCCAGGAAGCATCACTAATTCACAGAAGGGCAATGACACTGCTGGCACAGAAGAGAAGAGCCACGTCTGCGAGCACTGTGGCCGCACTTATCGACACGCCGGCTCCCTCCTCAACCACAAGAACAGCCACAAGACGGGCTCATTCTTCTGCTCCATTTGCCAGAAGGAGTTCACCAACCTGATGGCTCTCAAAAACCACAGGCGCATTCACACGGAGCCCAAGCGCTACCAGTGCCTGGAGTGTGGGAAGGCGTTCCGCGTGTCCACTCAGCTCATATGTCACCGACGCATCCACACCAAAGAGAAGCCCTTTGCCTGCCTGCTGTGCGACAAGAGCTTTTCCAGCAAGTCCAACCTGCGGCACCATCAGAAGATGCACCAGAACACGCAGACCTACGACTCCTCATTTAGCATGGATGCTGACACATTTATGGACCTGGACATGGGGTCTTTCCTTTAAAGTAGTACTCCAGATCATACAAGAGAAGAACACAGGTGGTCCTCTTATTATCTGTTATGTATCCCTCTATCAGTAATTGTAAAACAGTATTTTTTTCAGAAAGTGCTCCTTGGTCCTGACAGAAGCTCCTTTTGAAGATGCACATTTCATTACAGACTTCCAGTCTTACCTCCACAACAGATGACAACATCACTGAAAAGTGAGTTTATCAGTCAGCTTTTAATAAGGCCTGAATGTTTTCCATGAATGCACAGGATCCCAGAATACAGGGCAGGTGATGAAAACATTAGTCGCCGCTCATTCCTCAATGACAAACCAACCAACCAAAGTGAACAGAAAAGTGCAGCCCAGGTCCATGTAAGAACATCAACACTGATATCATGTTTTTGTAAGACTACTGTTTTAACGGTGATCTCTCCTCTCTTTCTATCTATTGTGTTCAGTGCCTCTGTAAGTTCCTTAGGAAACAAAATATACAAACTATATTTATCTTTGAATCCTTTTGTTAGCTTTGCCGTTGATCTCGAAGGACTGCTCACTGTCCTTTGCGATTTCATATAGGGCAAGCCTGTTGTTATTAAGTCAAATACCTCTGGGTGTGTCCAAAGGTCAGTGGCAAACTGAAATCATATTATCAAGTAAATAGTTGTACTGCTAATAATATTCACATTGAGTGACATTGTATGCTAAAATGGATGTATTTATTAATTTATTCCTGTTATTTTATGTCCATATTTTATTAGAAAAACTTTTTATGAATGTTGTTAAAAAACTGTCTTCTTAAACTCATGTAGCCTTTAAGGAACTTCATCAGTCGATTTGTAACTCATTAGTTCTCAGTTACAACAGGCAGGAATGGACGACCCGAGGATGGTGCGTTGTTGGCAGCACTCAGGGTAAACCTTCAAAAGGAACATACCTGATGTGTAAAACATTGTAGATAATCTGTTTCTGAACTCAACAAAGCATTTTTTCCACTTGTGCCATTTCAACATGTTTATATTTTAGCTCATGTAACAGTTCTCAAAGTCACTCCAACATTTAGTTAGAGCTGCACATGCAGTGCATGCTGTAATCCATCTTGGAACATTTTGAGAAGCATCAGTAATGTTGAAGTGCCAGTGCCTAAAATGTAAACCGACTGTAGCAGTTTAATGTAAACAAACCTCCTCTCACTGTACTTGTTATACTGTAAAATAATGTTTTGTTTTTTTGCTTTTTTGTCCGCTACATTTGATTTCTTTTATTATTTATCTGATGATTTGTGAATCTTTTCAGCCACAAACATTTCAAATGTCTTAAAGCAGTCAATAACTAAATATTGCAACAGTGAGGTGAAAGTGGTTCCTTTTTGTCTCTGTGAAAATTTTGAATTTTTTCCCCCACAAATGCTGTATATTAATCAAATAGAATGATTTTACGTTTGTACTCTCAAACAAACAATTATGGACAAAATGCCTCATTTCTGCTAAGCACAAGTATTACTGCAAACATACCAGAGCTATGTGAATTTACAGCGACAAACCAGTTTCATCTTCACTGTTGAAGTTCACGAACCACTTATTTTCTGTGAAAAATGTGCAATTATGATTATTTTTTTTCTTTTTTCTTTTTTTTTTTGCTGAAGTTGTCTAACGTGGATGTTGTTCCTTAATTGTTTAAAAAAAAAACACAAAAAAAACAGAATTCTAGCAGAAGTGAACACATGGCCTTTGTTTTTATAATAATCTACAATGAGATTTTCTTTATGCCATATACATTACATTTCATGTATGAGTATGTTGGCACTGGTCAGAAGTATGAAATACCTCATGGAAAGCCCTGCCTACCTAGTAACTGCTACTTAATGCCTCATGCAGCTTAATTGTAGGGGATACACTGTAATCATACAAACTCAGATAATTACCAATTGTAAGACATGGAAGGGATGAAGCATCACTTTTAAGGTTTTACTTTGTAGTTTGCAGAATCTCTTTCCACCATAACATGGTTGTGTCTCTGCAGTTTGTTGTTTTCAGAATTATATTTGCACACGTGTAGTTGAGACACTTGTAGCCTAAGGACGACAGTTGGTCGATAATAATGCAGCCGAGATGTTGATGTTTGGGGTGTTGACAGGCAACAAGTCGGCTGCTTGATAGCTCACCTCAGCTCATTTTGCGGGTCGTAATATTTAAGCAATATGCTGAAAGTATTGTTTCAGTGCACAAACTGAGTACATCTCATTTGTCTTCAACAGATTCAGTATATTGACAATATCCCTCAAAAACCATGACAACTTGCCATTTCATTACATTATTTAAAAGCCTGTGTGTATTAATTGTAATCATTTAGATGATTCCTATAACATATTTTCGTATGCCATGGTAGCCTACATGTAAAACGGAACATGCACATTTCAGTTAAAACTGTAAACTGACTTTATTTTTGTACAATGTTCATGTTCTTATTTCCTGTGTTTTAACACGTTCACTCCTCTGTCATTGATCACAATCACAGCCTGGTATTTGTGGTGCGCGTTAATCTCAGAGCTCTCTGTAAATATTAGAATGAAAATATTGGTTGGATCTCTGTACATTTATGGCAAGATTTTGTTCGGCAGGAGAAAATGCTAGATTAGCTATTGTGTAATAAAAAGCATATACCACATGTTCTGATTTATTGGATTTTCAGTGCTCAAAAATGTCTGCTCAGTATTTAATTCATATTTATATAACTATTTTGTCACTCTGAAGCGTAGATTTTTACTTCTTTGTTAGAACTTAGTTTAGAATATAAGCAAATTATTGATAAAACTAGTTGAAATCAATTAAAAGACTTGGAAAATGAAATGTGTTTATTTCTTGTCCATATTTGTCCTACTGATAGTCATCAATACACCTTGGATTATTATTGAAAGTTGTCAGTTTTATTGTGAAAATACTTTTGGTACACAAAGCAGTTTATAAGATTGCATTAAGTAAAAGAAGCCAGTGCATGTACAGTATATACAGTTAGAAAAAGAAAGCAAGAGAAATAAGCAGAAAGTGTTAGTTATTGCTCAGTAACATCATTGGCTGGCCTAGTGGAAGTTCAACAAAAATCTTCACTGGAGTCCCTTTAAAAATGTGCTTGTCCCTCGCAGTTGATGCAACACAACACTGCAAGATACTTAAAAATAAATAATATAAACATCTGAAAAAAAAAAGAAATGAAGTAATCTGTATTTTAAATGATTCCCTAATTTTGCTGCCACAGGGCAAGCAGTTTACCCACAAGCAGACAGATCCAAAACAAGACCTGAAACATTGTCAGTGATAAAATACCACAAGTATTCTCAAATACTCACATACTGCATGATGGTTTGAAGATTTAAAAAAACAGACATTTTGTACTATAAAAAAAGCGAAAAACAACAAACCTGCCCACCATGTTTCTCACTAGTTTGAATGGCCACAAAATTACAGACATCTAGACATGTTGTTGCAGATCTGAAATCATTGGACAGGTCAGAGTCAGCAAGCAATGTGATTGTGTAGCTCCACCTAAAACACTGTAGGTGTAATTTTCTTCACTACAGTACATTCCTTGCAACATTCCCACATGTAAGCAGTTTGGGTTCTGTGTGTCTAGTGTTTCAAACATCCTGTCCTACGAACGCTGGGACGGTAACGTGCATTCTGGGGTTGAAAAATTGAGCTAACCTCATCTAAAACTCAACTAAAAACATTAAAACAGACAGACAATATTGTTATGACCTGCAATAAAGGGTCTGCATTGGTCTCAGGAGACCTGGTAACAGTGCATGAGTACAGTTTGCTCCCTTAAATCAACAGTTTCATCACTGTATCAGGCCACTAAAAGAACAGGTACATGGAGGTACTGAGAGGGACGAAGGCTAGAATACATTTCACCTACAAGTAGCTACATTCAAATGGCCTTGATGTGCCTAACAGTATGTCTTACTCACATGTGGTTTATCTTTAAGAGGCTGTTGTGGTAACTAACTGACAGAGAGACCCCGTCTAACCCCTCAGAATAGCATGGGATCAAACCGCAGCCCAGCGGGCAGCAGTAGCTGTGTTACATTCATTGGAGTCCTGCTGGAAAATGGCACAATACAAAACAGAAGCATGGATTTATAGTTTCATCTTGATTCTGGATCAAACATCTGTAAACCCACAAAGGTCGTCCAGATCAAAATCTCATTTAGGTGGATTATAAAGGCACAGAATCTGAAAGAGATGCCACTCTAGTATAATGTTGTTACTATTCCTACGGAGGTGTGAGAGTTGCTCGATGTAAGTCCTGTGGTCACTGTGGGACCTACACTGAGCGTGAGAACTGAGCACATCTCTTCACTGAACAGTCTAATAAATTAAAATGGTCCGATTCTGGTCAAGAGATACCCTGCAGTCAGAGTATACACTTCATGGTCCAGAGGTTCCTGCGTCCGGCTCTGAGCCAGTCGCTGCTTGGTTCTGTCACATCTGTTTCCAGAGGAAGATGAGGCTGTGGAGGGCATGACAACAATTCAGTTCTCTTTACATTCAAATCATGTTAAAAATACACATAATTTAAGTTTCATTTACAATGAACAGTATGTTTTGATTAGGACCTGACTATGGGCTTATCAAGGCATTCTGGATTGAAGCTGCTGATATTTGATATTTGTTGCTGATAGATCCAAGCATTTTTATCCCAAATCAATTGTGAAAGAACCAAAAACTCCTGCACACTGTTAATCACTTGTCCTCATGTTATGTACAATGTTTCAGTCATCAAACATAAACATAAAATCCTATAATTTTACTTTTATATCCTTTAATTTTTGGCCCTGTTTCATTTTTGAACTGACTTTCTGTAAATAGTTTTCCTCTAGACTGGTTGAATTAAATCATATCTACTCTGATCCGATTTTCAGTCAAATTCACATATTAATCTAAACCTTGTTATGCCAAAATGAAAATTATACTTACTGAAATGTTTAAGCTTGATAAAGTGGCCCCGCAGTTTCTTCAATGGGTTCTGTATGACAAAATAAAAAATAAAAACACGATCATTTTCCCAGCAGTTACTGTGCATTTACAACTTGTCTCTGAGCATAAGTGAACACACAATAAGAGCTATTTTCTGTGCCTTTTCTTGTGGTTTGTGACACAGCTGCAAAGGCTTCATACCAAAAAAAGGAACTGCACACAGTGTGCACATGTTTGCTTTGCACCAGGGGCAATAAAGATTTTTAGAAGATTACTTGACCTCTTTGTCATCAATAACTCGTCCCTGTTTGCCTTGAATGTCACACATTTAAGGTTTTTCCTCCATGTCTTCACAGAGACACACAGTGCAAGAAACTAACACAAAAGTAATCTTCTTGGGTGACAGAGCCCTTTAAGGCTGTAAGAGGACACTTGACACTGCAATTTTATTTTGTTGAACAGTGGTGGATTACAGCGTCTCAGTTCAGGAACATGGAACACTCTTGTCACTTGCAGCTATTCTTTGTGATTTAGGTCAAATAAATACTGTGTCTTTGCCTCAGAATGAAATCTGATGCACTTTTAAAAGTTACAAAAGTTTAAGAGAATCTCACCACGTAGAGGCCGCTTGTGTGACTTGCGTCGATGCACCATGACCCCGATAATCAACGCAGCACCGACAAGCACGACGGCCAGCACTGAGAAACTGGTGATGGCTGCCAGTTTCCACACATCAGGTGTGTCCTCCACGGGTTTACCTGTTGATAAAACAAAAAGAACTTAAACTGCAAACTGCTGAAAGAGAGGATACTAATGTATGAACCAATCATGGCAGAGGTCATTTACATTCTCAGTTTCTGAGCCAGTGTCTTACATGTGTTGCAGGACGGGGTCTTTGGGTACTGCTTGCATGATGCACACGGCACACAAACGTCCAAGTCTGAGTTCCAAAACTCTGAAATGCCACACTGACCTGCACACAGACAAACATCAAAGATCAACTCTTTGTCATTATAACACTTTATAATTCATAAGTCATTCAGCGGAAACAGTTTGTCAAAGCTGGGTCCTGGTGTTTCCAGGGCAAAACATTTCTCATTGTTTATGAAATACAGTATTTAACACTGTTTTAAGCCAATTAAATATTATGATCTGGAGTTAATATTTAAAAACATGTGATTGTGACTCATGTAAATGCTTTAGCAAGCAAACATAATTCCCTAACACTGTAATGAAATAAAATAAACCATAAATTCAGCTGGAGTCAGTAACTGCAGGTGTGACCTGAGCAGGACACATGAGAAACTTTGTGGTTTCCTTTTCTTTTCTCAAAAACGAATCTGGGAAATTCCTTTGGGTCAGACTGCTGATGCAACCGAACTGCATGAGAGAGAATTACTCAGTAACTTTCAGTGCATGAGCAGGCAAACGGTGCAAGAGGATGTGTCTTCACAGAGTGCTTCCGCTGAATTGTTTTGCTTCTCTGTATGCGTGTGACTTCCAGAGAATGAACAACCGTGTCTGTGAGAGAGAGGTTGGCAGACGGTGGTTACACTGTCAAAAAGTCTACCCCTGTGGACACAATGGAAAGCTTCTTTTTCTTTTTATGGCAGCTGGACAATTAAAGCTGTGCACTTCCCACATGGTGAAGAAGAAGCCTGAAGATGTGACACAGTTAACACTAATAGTAAAATCAGTATAGAGACCAGTTTGGTGTTTTTATAGTGTGTGGTTTTCACTGCAGGTTTAACATCCTGGCTTTGGTTAAGAAGTAAGAATGCACTAATACCCCAAGGTCATGAACGAAGTAGAGAGTATTGTGACATCAAGCTGAAAAACAAGGTCTGCAAAACAATATTACAACACAAAGTCAGCCTAATAAGATGACAGAAATAACACAAGACATGACCACATGACAGATAATGTGACACGGAAATGGTTTAAAGATATTTGATAGATAAAATGATAACAGTCTTGCTTCCTCCTCAGTGTCACACATGTATTTGCATGAACAAATTCTTTTGTGTCCAGCATTAGGAAAAAGAACCACGTCGAGCCTAGATTGAGTCATCATTTGTGGTAACTTTCATATTCAAACTGGCTGCTTTAATCACCACAGAGAGCAATAACAAAACTATCAGAGAAGCGAGTTTGACGTAAACCCAAAGTACTTAAAAGACTGTGTAGGACACTGTGAATGTTTGAGTGACAATAAGAGCAGTTGATGAATATTGTGAAATCAAGCTCAGGAGCTGACAAGCCAACTGTCAGAAACTGTGCTAAACCACAAAGGTTAATAAGAAACAATACCAGACGTGATGGACTTACAGAAAAATGAAAGAAGGAAATAATCTGTAGATTATTTGATAGATGAAAGGGTGATCATCATCCTTTGCTCAGTATAAACAATCAGAACAGGTTTGTGTGAGAAATCTATCTAAATATGATTGTGTCAAATTTCACAGATGGTCTATTGTGATGGAGTATGTTTCAGTAAAATATTCTATTAATGAAAAGCCCTGCATTTAAAACCTTGTTTAAATTGTAGTACAGACATATTATCAGCTAAATGCACTTTAAGTTTAAAAAGTACTCATTATTTAGAAAAATGGCCCCTGTGGCTGATATATTATCATATATGACCTTATTGGATACTGATGCAACCTTGCATACTGTGAGCAGCTTTTTTCTGTTGTAGCTGTGTAGCCCTGGTGTGTCACAAAGTAAATCTGATGGGGGTAGAGGAGTGAGGAGGTAGGAATGATAAGATAATTAATGGTGTGGGGAAGAAGAAAAGTTCTGCTTCACAAATTTGTGTTCATTTTTGGATAATTTGCCTCTCTGAGCCTCAAACAAATATTCAAATGAAACCATCTGAGAAATTTAGAGGAGAGATGTCTCTGCTAACAAGTCATCTGAAACCAACCTAACTAGACGCAATTTTTTTGATAAGGAGTCATGAGCCAAAAAGATGATGAAAGAATGTATTTAGTTGCTTTCCACCACTGATGACATTAGTCAAGCTTCAGTTCAGTTTTTATGACGTTTGATGCCTTACTATACTATGACATTTTTTTTACTTATTATGCCTTACTATACTGTGACGTTTTTATGCCTTACTATACTATGATGTTTTTATGCCTTACTATACTATGACGTTTTATGCCTTACTATACTATGACGTTTTATGCCTTACTATACTATGACGTTTTATGCCTTACTATACTATGACGTTTTATGCCTTACTATACTATGACGTTTTATGCCTTACTATACTATGACGTTTTATGCCTTACTATACTATGACGTTTTATGCCTTACTATACTATGACGTTTTATGCCTTACTATACTATGACGTTTTATGCCTTACTATACTATGACGTTTTTATGCCTTACTATACTATGATGTTTTTATGCCTTACTATTCTATGACGTTTTTATGCCCTACTATACTATGACCTTTTTTGACATTTTTATGCCTTACTATAGTGTGACGTTTTTTGACATTTTATGCCTTGCTATACTATGAAATTTTATGCCTTACTATACTATGACGTTTTATGCCTTACTATACTATGACGTTTTTTGACATTTTATGCCTTACTATCCTATGACGTTTTTATGCCCTACTATACTATGACGTTTTTTTGGGTTTTTATGCGTGACCATACTATGATGTTTTTTGTCGTTTTTATGCCTTACTATACTATGACATTTTTTCACGTTTTTATGCCTTACTATTCTATGACGTTTTTATGCCCTACTATACTATGACGTTTTTTGACATTTCATGCCTCACTATACTATGACATTTTATGCCTTACTATTCTATGACGTTTTTATGCCCTACTATACTGTGAAGTTTTTTGACGTTTTTATGCCTTATAACACTATGAAGCCTTTTGACCTTTTTATGCCTTACTATACTATGACGTTTTTTTGTGTTTTTATGCATTACCATACTATGATGTTTTTTGTCGTTATTATGCCTTACTATACTATGACCTTTTTTGACATTTTATGCCTTACTATTCTATGACGTTTTTATGCCCTACTATACTATGAAGTTTTTTGACGTTTTTATGCCTTACTATACTGTGACATTTTATGCCTTACTATTCTATGACGTTTTCTGACGTTTTTATGCCTTACTATACTATGACAATTTCATGCCTTATTATACTATGACGTTTTTTTGTGTTTTTATGCCTTACCATACTATGACATTTTTTCACGTTTTTATGCATTACTATGCTATGACGTTTTTTGATGTTTTTATGCCTTACTATACTATGACATTTTTTTTACATTTTATGCCTTACTATATTATGACGTTTTCTGATGTTTTTATGCCTTACTATACTATGACATTTTATGCCTTACTATTCTATGACGTTTTTATGCCCTACTATACTATGACCTTTTTTGACGTTTTTATGCCTTACTATACTATGACGTTTTATGCCTTACTATGCTATGACGTTTTTATGCCCTACTATACTATGACATTTTTTGATGTTTTTAATGCCTTGCTATAGTATGAGCTTTTTGTGTTACAAGGACTACAATGTGATTCAATGGTAGTGCAGTGGTTAGACCAGCTGCTTAAAGATGAGAAGGTCATCGCTTCAAATCCAAGTCATGGAGCTTATAAGGAGTTTTAATATGTATACAATGTTTTTTTTATGTTTTTATGCCTTACTATACTATGACCTTTTTTGACATATTTATGCCTTACTATACTATGACGTTTTTATGCCTTACTATACTATGACCTTTTTGTGTTGAAACAATAAGTACAATAATGTGATCCAATGGTAGTGCAGTGGTTTGAACAGCTGCTTAAGGATGAGAAGGTCATGGGTTCAAACCCAGGTCGTGGAGCTTATAAGGAGTTTTAGTATGTATACAATGTTTTTATGCCTTACTATACTATGACATTTTTCGACGTTTTATGCCTTACTATACTATGACAATTTTTGATGTTTTTATGCCTTACAATACCATGACGTTTTTTACCTTACTACGCTATGACGTTTTTTGATGTTTTTATGCCTTACTATGCTATGACGTTTTTTTTTTACGTTTTTATGCCTTAGTATACTATGACATTTTTTGACCTTTTTTATGCCTTATAATACCATGACGTTTTTTGCCTTACAATGCTATGATGTTTTTTTATGTTTTTATGCCTTACTATACTATGACGTTTTTTGACATTTTTTATGCCTTACTATACTATGACATTTTTTGACGTTTTAATGCCTAACTATACTATAACGTTTTTTGACGTTTTATGCCTTACTATACTATGACATTTTTTGACGTTTTAATGCCTAACTATACTATAACGTTTTTTGACGTTTTATGCCTTACTATACTATGACAATTTAACGCCTTACTATACTATGACATTTTTTGACATTTTAATGCCTAACTATACTATAACGTTTTTTGACATTTTTTATGCCTTACTATACTATGACGTTTTTTTTTAAGTTTTTATGCCTTACTATACTATGACATTTTTTGCCTTACAATGCTATGACGTTTTTTGATGTTTTTATGCCTTACTATGCTATGACATTTTTTTTTGACGTTTTTATGCCTTACTATACTATGACATTTTTTGACCTTTTTTATGCCTTATAATACCATGACGTTTTTTGCCTTACAATGCTATGATGTTTTTTTATGTTTTTATGCCTTACTATACTATGACGTTTTTGTGTTGCAACAATGGGCACAATAATATGATCCAATGGTAGTGCAGTGGTTAGAACAGCTGTTTAAGGATGAGAAGGTCATGGGTTCAAACCCAGGTCATGGAGCCTATAAGCTGTTTTAGTATGTATACGTTGTTTTTTTATGTTTTTATGCCTTACTATACTATGACCTTTTTTGACATATTTATGCCTTACTATACTATGACGTTTTTATGCCTTACTATACAATGACCTTTTTCTATTGAA